GTTATATTCAAGCATTTTTGATACTTAATTAAAATGTGTGATGTATTTTTCTGTATTCATATCATAATACTCGTATATAGGTAGTTATATTGTATTATTTGAACGATATTAATTTTGGAAATTAATTAAAAATATAATTTAATATTAAATGAAAACAATTTAAAAAAAAGACCCAAAAATCAGATATATATATATATACATAAGGTTTCAAACTATCTAAATCCTTGATATAGATGATCACTAAAATATAAATTATAAAATGTCATTATAAATTATGACAAGATGATGAAATATAATCTGATGGAACATTTTTAAGATGTTTCTTATAAAAAACGTAATATAAACATAAGATAACAAATGTGTTTTGTACAGAACTATCACAATAACATTTAATATTAAGCTTCTATAAAAAATGTATATCGAACAGTGGCGTACTAGCGGGGGGGTTTTTGGGGATCAAACCCTCCCCCCCGACATTTTTAGGGTGAAATAACTTTTTATGAGAAAACTAAAATATCTGGTACTTGTAATATCATATTGTAATTAGGTATTACAAATTCTCCATCATAATAAAATAAACAGCGTACATTTTAAAATACCTTTGTAAAACAATACGGGTAATTCCACGAAGATATTGCAGTCTATCGTCATCTTTAAACGTATTTTATTATGTGCGATTAATCACCTAGATATTCTGTTTTTAATTTTGTTCTAAAAAAGTGGGAAAAGGAAGTTATATCTCCATAAAGGCCCTCGTAGGAACTCCATTTTGTCGTTGGAAAGATGCAAAAGAATAATTCTATATATCACACAAATTTAGAATATCATAAAACTTCTTGTATAATTGCTCAGAATTTTATAGATGTACACGAAAAAAAGAATCGTTGATGTTAGCCATCAGCTTAATGCAGCTTGATTAGCGACAATCGAACAAAATCGATAGCCGCAGAAAATATTCTTCCTTGCACTTTTATAGATGCAATTAATTGTTGTGATAAGTTACTGTTCCCTAAAGTATACCAATATTTAAAAATTGGCGCTACGTTACCCGTTACAGTTGCCAGCGTAGAACGGAGCTTTTCAACGTTGAAACATTTAAAATCATATTTGAGGAATTCTATGGGGGAAAATCGACTAAATAGATTGGCTAATCTAAGTATCCATAGAGAAATACCAATAAAAATTAGTGAGGTGGTCAATATTTTTTCGGATAAAAATAGAAAATTAATGTTTTAAAAAAAAATATCTATGTAAAATAAATAAATGATTATTAAATTATTTAATTTTTTTTTTTTTATGTATGGCTTAGTAGTAAGTTAAGTTATTTTAGACTTCAATACATATTTTATTATGACATGTCAATAAAAAAAATATCACAAATAAAAATTAGTAATTTATTAAAATGTACGATATGTTTTTTTATGTTCAGGTGTCACGCCATCCAATATGTTAATTTTGAAATTAAAACCCTCCCTAAAGTTCAGGTCTAAGTATGCCACTGATATCGAATACTTATCAATAGAAAACATACTCCCAATAATTAATTTTTAATTATTTATACATAAATATATTGATATACGATGGGTAAATAATTATGTATTTATTTAGTTTTTTATATGATTTGTTTAAATTGTTATATAATATAAATTATAGTTTATATTTAGTTCCGTGATAAATATGTATTTTTGAGCAACATAAAAAAAATGTATACCACTATAAAAATAAAGAGTTTGTGATACATAATTTGTAAAACTATATATTAATAGATAATATATATATATAGAATACCTTATTTATTATATGTCATATTACTTTATCAATTACTATTAAGATTATCATGTATCATTTTACTGTAAATTTGCGTCAAAATATTTAAAACGTACACAATTTTATTAAAATATCTAATCGAGAAAATTCTGAATTCTGCATAGTTGGTACAGTGTATATGCATATATGCATATCATTTTTAAATACAAAGTAATACTGACAATTTCTAGAAACAATTTGCTGTATAGTAAGTACATTTTAACTACCTTAAACTGTTTAAATAACAATAATACACTATTATCAACTAATTACACTTTAAATTCAGCTAGAATCACTAGATAAATAATTAAATCAGTAATAATCTACATTTTACAGGTAATGTACAATTTATTAAAACTTTTCAAATTGAAACTCTTTTAAGTATTGTTTAGATATTTTTATTGATTGCATTATTTGTAGATCACTATTATAATCAACTCTATTAAAATGTTTTTGAATATTAAGTGCATTAAATATGCAACTAAATATGAATAATTTATTTTATAACATATATTTATAATAACAATCGCTTCCCTTGAAAAAATTAAAAAATATATATGAAAAAATAAAAATATTAAAAATATATACCTACCTAAACCGTTTTGTTTTGATATGGATAATATTTATGTTTTATATGAAAATTAATAAAAATCGTATTATAATATTTACGACCCCGAATTCACTACATATATAAATATATAATAAAGCTGTAATATTTCTTTATTCCTATAACTTCATGGTATCGGTAACTTTGTGATAAATTTTCAACATATTTCCATTTTAATTTAATAAAAAAAAATTGAAGCGTGAATATAAAATATTGAAAAAATAATTATAATTATTTTCATAATTATTCCATGATATCTTTACATATAATAATATATGTGATACAGGGTAAGAAAGTAAACACAAAACGTTTATATTTTCTCATAAAATTAAATACGAGTACATAACGTGTACAATATAATTAAGGTGATCTAATCCGTATTATTGTATATAAATAAGAAAAGAAATATTTCAATTATAAAAAAATATATATATACAAAAAGTGACTTACAAATAAGTATTTATCAAATAAACTTCGATAAAATAATAAAAGAGATAAAATATTTTCTTAGTAAAATTATAATAATATGTTATAATCTTTACATACCAACGCACGTTGCAGGCGCGGGTTCAGAGACTTACCAGGGGAGGGGACCTTTTTTTTTAACTATCGATAAATTGCAGAGAGGGCTTAGAGAATATACTAACTTGGAATTCAAGTTTTCCAATAAATAATCTATTGTATTTATACATTATACTTGGTTTAATTAAATAAAATATTTATATATTACGTTCCTATATAATATGATGCACACTTCATATTAAGTTCATAATATGGTTTATAGAAAAAATAAAATTGTTAGATAGGTATTCAATTAAATAATCGGGATTTTACAGTATACATGGACACAAATGTATTAAAAAGTGGAGCCGCACCTGGCAAGTGTACAATTATTATAGATAACCATTAAAAAGTTAAAATGAAACAAATTAATCATTAATGGTTCCACAATTTTTGATGTTTTATTTTCCTTAGGTAGGAAAACATGTAATTAACCAATAGTAACAAGTTCTAACATTAGTCACTTAATCAATGATTGTAAAAACAAAAGAGGTGATTTTTAAAAACTTAGTTTTCAATAAAGAAACCTACAATTGCAATTAATTATTTATGTATGAGTTATAAGTAGTGATGTGAGTTTGTATTATATAGTGGTATAAAACTGTATTATACACATGGTATAAAATTATTTTATACAGACAGTATATATAAAAAAAAAAAAATGAATTTGTTATTTTTAGTAACTCAACTATTAATTTTATAGTTGTACTTATAGAATGGATCTCCAATAAAGTAGAGCATTATTATAAAAATTAAATATATACAATATTATTTTAATCGTGTTAATTTAGAATTCAGGGGTTAAAAATGACTAAAATCAATCAATGGTGGATCCTGACCATGATAAGGTGGGGGGGGGTGATTTTTAACGGACACACATGATATAGATAAAATTTAAAATATTAATTTTGATATCGTTTTTTAAACTGCAATAGTACGTATCAAAATTTGACAAAATTAGTTTATTTTCAATATTAATAAAATAGGTGATTCTCAGCATTTAAATGCTACAACCAGTATTAGTAGGAATATTTTACTAGAATCACCAATTTTATATGCTCTCGTTGGTGCCTATCAATAACGATTTATAATATATAAACCCTGACTCGCTGGTTTTTTTGTAAATCTTTTTGAGGATATCTATTTTAATATAATTTTTAATTTTTTAACAGCATAAAATAATATGTTTAAGTAAATACAAATTAAAAAAAAACATTAATTTAAATTATTAAGGGAAAATATTTTTCAAATTGAAAACAGATAGTAAACATAGATTTTCATAGTAAGATAAATACCTACTTTATCTGCAACAATCATTTTTTCAAAAAATAAAATGGTTGAAGTTCTTAAAACAAAACTTTAATTATGTATAATTGTAAAGATAAATATTTACAATATCAATGGTATAATAATTATTGCATACTAGCTACTTATTTATTTGAGTCCATTATTTTATATTATTAGTTTTATTGTATTCCTATAAGATCACAAATGCCTGTCGCTACCAAGAGAACTCTTGTAATTTATCACAACGCGTATACATTGTGTATTATATATTATTAACGTAAATAACAATATTTTTATATTAAAAAAAAACCTATAAATTTAGACTACTAATATTCCGTCCATCAAATGATTCAAATTTAACATTGTACCGCCATTTGCTACAATAAATTAATCGGATTTTACAGTAGATAATTTCTAATTGTAAGTCTTAAAATAAAGGTATTATTCATTCTAGAGTTTAAGCTATTCGACTGATATTTACATACTATTACTATTTTTATATTATGGTATGGCATAATATACTTCATGCTCTTGTTTATAAGACTGTTATCAACTAAAATCGATATAATAAAATAACGAGATTATTAAAATAATATGGCCATTTATTGAGCGAAAAATGGGTGGTTTGTATATTAAGACTGGGAGGTTGGTATTAGTCACTGATTGGTTGTTTAAATATAAGAGGGCGTTCACAGCTTTATGCCCCATTTCATTTTTAAAATCCATTTTTGCTCTACAGGCAAAGTAAGCAAAGGCTGTAGTGTATCTTGTACGAAGTGTTGTTGAGAGAAGTACCTATATTGCTAAGAATAATATTAAATATTTTATCATATTGGGTAAGTTATAGTTGTAATTATTATATTTTTATATTGATTATTGGTTTAGAAACAATTCTAACTCTAGATTTAATACATTTAACTTTATTTACAAGCTGCCATGTCATTCAATGTCAATGATTATAATTGTAAATATTTCTTTCATACATTATGCCAATAGCCATTTCATATTTTTAGTAACTAGGTTGTTTCAAATATTTTTAAATATAGTGTTAGGTATTGTATCTAAAATGTTTTATCTAAAATATGTGTGACATTTAAAAAAATTATAAACTTGAAAGGTTATGTGTAAATTATTATTAATTGTTCGAGTAAAAAAAATTAACTATAAATATGACGAACAAATAAAAAGTGTTAGATTATTATATTACATTTATTTGCAATTATTATATAGCTATAGTTTGTGTTGTATGGTATCAATGTAGTATCATAATTTAAGATTATATTTCTTTATGCTTTATAATGAAAAAATACTGAAATTTCGAGTAATATTTAATCTTCTGAACAATTTAAAAGTCGTGTATTTATTTTGCGTAGTTGGTATATTCATCTTCTATAAATGCAAATATTGGACATTTTATATAAATTTAATTCCAATCCAAGTCAATATATATCTAGCTATTTTATTATTCTAGTTTTAAATTTTAATCATACCTAATTGATTTGGTTATTAGGTTATTATTATTAGGTTCAGAAATCATTTCACTATTTTATTTTATAATACCAATGTAATAACTTATTCCATAAAATATTATATTTTTATTTATGAACCACACATACCTACCCACTTTTTATAAAAGTAAACGTTTAACTTACGGCAAATTAGTAAATTAGTAAATTTAATAAATTTGTCATTTATCTGTAAGAGTTTTTTAATTTTTGAGGTTTATCTGTGAAAAGTTTTAATTAATTACCTAATATATAGCACAATTTTTTATAATTATGCACGCCAAGCCTGTATTCTATGAATAAACTATGAAATGTTCACGAGCAAATTCTAAATCATTTTCAAAATTCTACTCCCAGTGTTAAAAGGTGGCATAGTAAATTTTTAAACTAATTGTTTTTAAACATGCCGAGATTAGGAAGTTTTTGGAATATATATATATATATATATATATATATATATATATATATATATATATATATATAAATAAGTTAAGATAACTAAATAAATATAATAGATTAGGTCGAAGTGGATAAAGGTAGTATTTATATATATATACAGTGTGTTCAACGATAAAGGTAACACGAAATATTTCGAACGCATGGCCTTGTATTCCATTCAGATTTTTTTTAATGCATAAAGGACATAAATTTATATTTATTTTTGGTAAATCTTAATTTAAAAAAAAAAAAATTCTGTGCATTTCGAGAATTTTTTTGACACTCGCCATAAATTAAGTATCAAATTGAATTAAAAATTTGATTTTTGGCATTTCAAATTTTGTGCTACTTTAATAAAAGATTTAATAAATGATTGTACCTCTAAAACAGTGATACATAATCAACAAACTTACATACCAATTTTAATAAAGTTTTGAAGAGATCCGAGCAAATTATAAGTTTATCAATTTACTTGAAAACCCCTTCTAACACGGATCCAGAAAATATTGTAACTTTTTTAGTTATAAATCATCAAACTTGAATTTCAATCTAATAATAATTAAAAAAAACATAACGGCCCTTGGTAAAAAAAAAAAAAGGTTAGCCACCACTGCTGTGCTATATTAAGTGCCGACCGATGGGGGCGAGTAAGTAGGGCTCTTGTCTGGGGCCTCACTCTTTTGTATATAATAATATAAACATACATATATAATGATGTATGAAAAATAAGAATTCGAATTCTTTAACATTGTTATTTTGTTTATTATTGTAGGGGGTACATATTATATAAATAATTATTTTACGGAGATTTTGAAGATTACGGTCACTGATTCAAAAAAAAAAACTGTCACCGACCATTCCCCTGCATGCACGGCCCACGATATTATTAGATTAGATTTTGTTCATTTAGTTTATTTACAATTATTTATTAGTTACAGTTATTCACAATAGTTAATTTCAATAAAGATAATTATAGGAATTTAAATCAGATCAAGTACATTCTCGAATGTCATATTATTCTGGAATCAATGTTTTTGTGGAATACCCTATGGTCAGTGTACATATGTAATGGTCATTTAAGGGGCTCTCTGAAAACGGAAAACTGTTTTTTTTTATTTAATAATACCCGTATTTTAATTACGAATTTACGGGACAAAAGTATTTATGAAATATAATATATATTAAGTGATAGGTGTTATATGCGGTAATAATAATAAATAATTTTGAAAAAAAAAAAAAAAATAGAAATAATATAAAAATTAATTAATTTTTCTCTCGAATACAAAAATTTAATAAACATGATTTTATTTATTAATAATAGTCAGATATTATTAAAGTTTATCATTTTAATTATTGAATAGTAATGTCACATACAGATGTATTTAAAAAATAATTTTGTAGGGCCCAAAATTTTAATTGCCTAGGGGCCCACAAATGTTTAATTCGGCACTGCCTATGGTTCTTCTTATATAAGGGTCTTACGATATATTTCGCCTGGGGTCTTGCAAAAGCCATCGGCTTTGGCTAGATTGAATATCAATGGTAGATATACAGGTCCCAGGTACCCAACCCTCCCAAGTAATAAGTTCAATATATATAGTTCATCTATAAGTATTAAAAAAATATAATTTATTTTTATTTTATTTGGTAGAGATTGTTTAAAAATACATCCTAAATGGTTTAAGTTAATATTTGACATAAATCCAAAATTGTACATTAGATATTTGATAAGTGCATGAAATATTTCAACATGAAACAATATTTTACATAGTTATTAATATTCATCTAATTATAATATTTATAGGTTTATTTAAGTATTTTAAATATGCTGAAGAATCAGCAAACGCAACAAATATTGAGTGATGCAAGAGATGATTCGTCTTCATCTCGAGTCGTCATGCTTTTCGGATCAGACGAAGAATGTGACTTGACGTCAGACGACTTAACGTCCGGTGACGAAGATCCGCTATCTGGAAATCCATTGACAGGCATCCGACGGTTCCCCATACCAGATTCTCGAAAACCATGCACTGTAACAAACTCTCGGGAGCGTTGGCGTCAACATAACGTTACCGGCGCATTTGCGGAACTACGTAAATTGGTACCCACCCATCCACACGATAAGAAATTATCAAAAAATGAAATCTTAAGAATGGCCATCAAGTATGTGAAATAATACATTTTAACAGAAATAATCGATTTAGTCAACAGTCACATTTTTATATGTTATATAAATATAACATATATATAAATGCACACATTCAGCATAGCATTCAAAATATATTGTAAAATGTATTATTAATCACATTAGAATTTATAATAATTAAAGCTCATTTTCGTCGTAATAAACATTTAGTTTGAGAACCTTCTGAAGAGTGATTAAAAAATGACTTCCTGTTAATGTTTAATACAACTTGACAAAATTGTTTTAAATTACTGTTATTCCGTCAAATTTGGGTTTAGAATCAACATGAATAAGTAAAAACTACCAATAAAAAATTAGATAACCTGAATCCAAAATGTGCACTTCAGTAATTCTTATTCGTTATAGAATTTTTAAAAATTCCATTTTAATACAAAGTCGAATGTAGTTGAAATATTAAAATATAGTTTAAAACATGATCACAATTTTTAATTTTAATATTAGAATAATTAATTTACTAATGAATGTTGTACCTAATTAAAAAAATATAATTTTTAATATATTAATATACAATTATTATTTTTATAGGTACATACGTCTTTTAAGTGGAGTGCTTGAATGGCAAGAGAATCAACAAGATTTCAGTAATAATAATGAAGATTGTATGGACAATAATGTTTATTTATAGATTATGATTTAAAATTATAATATTATTAATATAAAAAAAAATATTATTTGACACAACAAGATTTAATACAGAATATAACGAATGGATCTTCGCAGGAAAAAATTTTTTGTGTCCTTATATAATATTGTCTACATTTAGACCCTTTTTTGCAGCTATCTAAATGTGATAACATTGATAAAACGATAACATCATTTTTATTATAATAGTTTTATATATTGCTAAATTAAAATTAAAATAGTTAAATAAATTTAATAATACACAATTCGAAAAAAAAACACAATATCGTGATTTGAAATTTAAAAATACACAATTAATTGCGAATACTTCAAGTGAAAATATAATATAAATGTAATAATTAGGTTTAATGTTTTGTATTTTTGTAATAAAAGCGTACCTAACTGTTTAAAGTTAAAACCATGGGTCCCATCAACACAGATTTAGTCATTTCCAAATACAAAAATCATCTTGCAAAGTATTTAAAATACAAAATTGGATTATTAATATATTTTACTAATTATTTGGCTCATAATTGGGCCATAACACTCATACTATAAACATTTCAAAGTTTTTCCTTCCACAAAATCTTGGACATCATTTAATGCCCTTTGAATAGGAACCAGTATAGATGGTAGTATAGTATTAAATAAAATAAAATAAGCTACCTGCCAATTTTGCTCTATCAGCTGTAGTAAACCTTAATTTACCAATTTCATTTTGATGCCATAATTGAGTATTACTGTATCTTACAATTAATTCATTGTCTTTCTCGTTTAATAAAGATTAAAATATGGTAATTTAAACGTAGAGGTATGGAGAAACATGAGAGTAATAAAAATGTTATATTTTTTATTACTTTTGAATTGTACCTTTTAAATGACGATCGTAAGTGAATATTGTGTTTTTTACTAATCGTGTATTATTAAATGTATTTAACTATTTAAAATTAAATTTAGTAATATATAAAAGTATTATAATAATAATGATGTTATCACATTTTGATAGCTACAAAAAAGGGGCTAAATGTAGGCAATATTATATACGGTCACAAAAATTTTTTTCTTGAGAAGATCCATTCGTAGAATATAAGACATTATCAGGCGCAACTTAGGCTTAACCCCTAAATATTTCCAAAGCTTTCCTATATTAAAAATAACGAATCTCAGAATTTTGTGTTTGAGATTGAGATAAAATCTAATCATTTATGTCTGTAATCTCAATACACAAAATATTATATTAATTAATTTTGACAATTCTTGTTATTCACAATTCTTCAAGTTGTGTACATGTATTATTAATGTAAATTATTAATGATTTTTGTGAGGGGAAAGGATGATATCTTGCTAAAATTTGAACTGAATCTATAGTACTCAGTAGTAATACATTTTGTCTGTATTTAAATTAGTAATGGAGGTGTGGAGGCGTAGCCCTTGCAGTGCTGTGTTATCTTGATATATAGCTCCTTTCCGAAATGTAAACTCTAGTTGCGCCTATAACATTATCAAAAAATACGTAGGTAAGTATATAAATGTATATACATGTAATAGAATATGAAAATTATAATCGACTAAAATGCTTTACTTGTTTACTTATATAAAATACTTTCATTCAAGTAAGGAATAAACAGAAATATTAGAATAGGTACCTATTGTTTATTTTTCATGGGAGCGAAGATAAAAATAATATCTACAATCATTATTAAATTAATTTTTAATTTTGGTTAATTAATTTGAAAATTATTGTGTTATAGTCTTTTGTAATTATTTTAATAAAAGTAATTTATGTAAGTCAATATATATGTTTTAAATTTTTTGATTTTTAGTCATACATAAACATACATATGCGTACAATAAATGTAATATCACTGTTAATTTTAATAGTTTCATAGACATTTTTTTTCCGTGGTTCACAATAATTGCAATGTTTATTTGTATGATCATTTTTAAAAAAAGTAATGATCAGAGCTCATAATTTATAGCATTTACATATTTTTTTTGAGAGGTCCTAGAAATACCTATGTGAGCTATACATTTTTTTAGATAACTAAGAATTTAAATACGAAATTTTATGTTGCTTATTTCAAAGTATAAGTGCTATTTTGCTTTTTTAAGTCTTTTTCAGTTCTGTAGCATTTAAAACATTTTTTCTTAATAACAAGTAATTATAATAGTATTAATTTTTATATTTGTAATTAATTCATGTTAATTAACTAATTCTTCTTCTTTTCGTTTAAATTATTTATTTATTTGTATCATATAGCGACGCGATCAGGATTTTAGTAATAAAAGTTTAAATTTTTTTTTATACATATGTTTTTTTTAATAATAAAATTTTTCATGTTATATTTATTTTTGCATATTTTTGTATTTTAGTGCGTATTTAAGTGCTTATATGAATATTTTTAAAAGCATTTTATAGAGTTTATAACTACTTTTTTTAGAGCTATAAGTTATGAGTCCTGGTCAGGGGCGTATTTAGACTTACTTCTAGGGGGGGGGGACTAATATTTTTTATTTAATTCAGGCTCAAAATTTTCAAGTAAAATTTTTGATAATATTTATATCAGGTTAATCCTTAATATTTGTGGTTTTTTTTTTTAAATCTAATTCCGGATCCATTTAGAATGGTCTTTTGTGTAGTTCTTTTCGTTAAAAATTCAATGATTATTTTATATCTAGCAGCATTGATTACATACTCGTATAAACGATTTTATATACTATATACTACCAGTGCCGTATTTAGACATTTTGCGCCCCGGTGCAAAAAAAAAAAAAAAAAGGCGCCTCTCTAAGGGGCCTGCCCACGGAAAATACAGGAGATAGATCCTCATGAACCTTTGAGATATTCTAAAATCAATGCTATTTTTGTGTAGTAGTCACGCTGCACGCGATAACATAATACACAGTATTATTATAAATAACTTATGTTTATTGACATTATCACAACAAATTTCGGAACTAATATTAGGTATATTAATAATATTCTGGATCGCTAATAGCTATATTTCTATAAATATATTAACATTGATTTATGATAGGTACAGTAATTAAAAACAAAAAAAATAATAATTTCAAAATAATTTTAAAAGTACAACATTTGTACTGTTATGTACGAGTATATTTAATAAAATATCTTTATTTTGAACATTTTTGCGTTAAAAAAACATTAAGTGCATATTTTTGTAACAAATTTGTACTTTTTTAAGCGCATAAGTGCATGCATATTTAGTACATTTAAAGTGTATTAAGTTCCGAGTCCTAATAATAAAAACTGTACGTGTGCAATCACGTACGTCGTAAGTGAATACGTTTTATCAAGAAGCAATAAGGAAGGGAATGATTGTATCTAATATTTAAATATAATAACAGAAAATATTATTACATAAGAAAATCAACACATTCTGTAACATTTTAAATAACTTTCGTTTTATTGGCAAATATAAAATGTATGTAATAAATATTTAAATATTTATGGAATTGTCATCAGTTTGCTTTTCTGTCAGTCTGGTAATACTGATGGGATTATGATAACTGAAGTATGATACAAAATGGTTTAGTTCTATATTTTCAAGTTTCCTGACAAATACAGCATCAATAGTAGTACCACCTTTAGTCATAGGATAATTTCTACTGTTTATCATTCTCAAAGAGAATTTTTGTTCAAGGAAATCGAGTAATGGTTGAGCCTCTGGCAATGAAAAGTTAACATTTAAATCTCCTGTCAAAACTACCGGTCGATTGCAATAATATACCGGTTCACTAGTTATTTCCTCGAGTGCTCGGGAACCTGCGAACTAACGCCTTACCCACAAAAAGCTTTATATCTCACATACATACGTAGGGTGAAATGTATATAGCTATCAGTGCCGACTCCACGGTTTTCGGGACCCAGTGCAGAATTTTGCGGGGCCCCATAAATATATATATATATTAATTTATTAATTGTTTGTAAAAATTTTCGTTTGTTCATGTTATTATATATCTAAATAATATTTCGAACTGTCATCGACGATAAACTATTTTATAAGTGCATGCACATGCAATACTTTAAAGCTATGCGTAATTGATATCATCTTAATTTTCGTTGATAACAACCCGTTTTCTGAGAAAACCACAAGACCACACGGGTTGCGATTTGCGTACTGGGACTATATTATTTTTACTTAGAATGTGATATTCGTAATACACAATTTGTGGGGCCCCATACAAACACGGGGCCCGGTGCGAGCACACGGCTTGTCCTCCTTTAGGGCCGGCACTGATAGCTATCAATATCAGTTGACAATCCGAATCATTTTTCTTTTTGCATTTGTCCGTTAACGGACAACTCGACGGATTGCCTCAATATATTTCCGTTGTCGGAACGTTTATCAAGACTATATCAATAGATATAACATTTCACACTATCCGATTTAGTGTCCAATAATTTTTATCCGGTACCCGTTTAAGTTTAGTTTTTATTTTCACCCGATCCGTTTCCATTGCCGTTAAAAAAACGGATCATGTGAAAGAGGCCTTATGGTTATAATCACTTATCTATCATATATTCATGCGCACGTAAGAATTCGATATAAATATGTAAAAGAAACTATAGAAAATTCTTGTATGATACCCCTAAGACCTCCTCCTTGATGACGTTCCTGAGTACGCGAGTGAACCACTTCAACACTACTAATTTTCCGCTTAGTGTGCCTTACACACGATGAGTCAGGCATTAAACAGTGGCCCTCGGAGGGTGAAAAGCCAACAATGAACATAAAATCATCTCAAGCTATCTCTATATCGTCGTAATGTATATCAACCACATGTATAACGAACAACCCTCCTATATTCCCAAATTTGTTTATTCCTTTATGCATTATTTTATTAACAGCCTCCTGTCAAACCTTTATAGTCCTATATTTTATTTCTCTGTATCAAACCATATTATCTAACCTTATATATATCATTGTTTCCTATATTATTATATTTACCTGTGGTGCCAGCCATTTATATTATAATTACAAATATTGTATTATTTATATTTTGCAATAACAAACACAGTCTACTAATTATTTTATTTTTTTATTACATTATATTTAAAAAAAAAAAAACTAAAACCTCTAGGCTCCGCTAACTTGCCCTTACCGGCATATGTGATCCTGTCTTTAGGTCATTGATCTGTTTTTATCAGATCCATGGGAACAAAGCCCCAAGTAAGACTAAAATGTTTCAAATAAAATGTTTTTTTTTATGTATAAAATTAAATACCAAAAGTCAAATATAATATTTTACAAAGTCGAATATAATATTTCACAAAAGTAAGAATACAAAAATTAAAGAGTTAAACATTGTATTTAAAAACCCTCAACTGTATTACAAACTATAAGTTTTTATACTTAAATAAATATAAATTTTAAAAATTAAAAAATATTACATATGGATATAAAAAAAGCCCAATTTTAATTTTATATTAATTATACGTGCGAATATATTCACTATATCGTAGTGGTGTATTCCAAACAGCACTTGATGTACGTTGTTTATCACGAATTTTCCAGCCTTTGAACATTTCTTTAAGACTCATACTTTTAGGACAATCAAAAAATAAATCTCTTTCTTCCAAATCAACATTAGATTGGAGTTCAAGTACAGATTTTCTATTTTCCTCTACAAAAAATAATTTGAATATTGTATAATAATATAATAGTAGTATTAATTATGTATACACTTACTCTTTGCCCATGTTGGAACAGGCTTTTTGGGTCCAGATTCATCTTCTGAAGAATCACGAGCTGATACATCATTTAAACCATAATCATTTATATTTATTCCAGTTTTTTCAACCTAAAACAAACCCAAAGATAATATATTAATAATAATACATTAAACCAAAATGGAAAATGATTTTATATTAAATAATATCATGTACACAAGGATTTAACCAAATTAAATTTTATTACCATTTGTCAGTAAAATTAAATTAGATGAACTGATATGAACACATATTGATAAGAAAAAAATGAATTTAATCTTATATGTAAATATGATATATATTAATTTGATTGTAAGAAAAAAAAACATACTTTCGATTTTGGTAAAGTTGCTCCTTTGGGTATTGATGGAACAGGTAAATTTGAATTTACCACTTTTGGATGAACAGATTTACTTTTAACTGGTCTGCAGATAATAAAACATTTACAATTAATAAATAAAATATAGTTGTATATATATACATAAAAAAAAAATATTACTTAAGTTCTGTTTTCTTTTTCATCTCATCTTCTTTTAACTTACGCTGATTCATTTCAATTTGTTGCTAAAATAATGATACATTTTAAATTAAATCAATTGGTTATTAAAAATTCTTAACACCTAATATCAAATTAAATGGTGCCAGTGTAGTGTACGATCTAACGCTTACATATGCTCTACCTGTGATCAACCCATTACTATCCAGTTCTTTACCAGTAATTTATCGTTAATGACCCCTTAACAGATGCGCACACAGGGTGTTAAAAAGTTATGGTTGGATGCAAAAATATCCATATTAAAAAAAAATTGAGGTGTACTTATCTATATACTTCAGTCACATTTAAATATATATTATTGGAAAGTGTGATGAAAAAGTGAACCAGACTTGTTCATTGCTTTTTTAGATGATATACGCGCTACATTCATAAATAGCGACTAAAATGAAACTTTTATTTTAAATATTTATTTAATGAAACTTATAATATGTGGATGTGATTTTTGAAATACGTATGAAGCCACCTCCTCGTGGTGTATTTTAAATAATGCTAAGCGGCTCACAAATCGCGTTCACCAAAAACAGACCGGTAGATTACATTCTACACCAGAAACGAGCTGGTAGATTGCAAGCTATACTGGCACCAATTAAACAGTATTAAAGAATAACATAAAATATTAAGTATTTTACCAATTTTAATAATCTAGCTTCTTGAGCCTGTAGGCGTTTAGCATTTATCTCTGCTAATCGAAGTTCTGTTTGTTTTTGTTTTTTTAATGCCTCCTTTTTCATCATTAATTCTTTTTCTTTTAGTTTTTCATCCCTTTTCTTACTTTCTTCTTCTTTTTTTTTTATTTTTTCTTGATGAAGTTTTAAATGCTCTTCTTTGTGTTTAGCTACTTTTATTTGTTGTTTATCAAATTTCCTAAAAACAAGTTTATAGAATATTTTAAAAAAAATACATACACTTAATTAAATATAAAATTAAAAAAAAAATACTAATTCTATTCCCAGTCCTGAAATTAATTTTCAAAACAAGGCTAAGGCCGCGTGTACATTGGTAAGCGTTGGGCGATGAGCGGCTAGCGTTGACAAAAATAAATCAAACACGGTAATTTTATTGGAGCTGAGTATACTGACTTTGAGCGTTGTCGTCAAGCTTTACGATATATTAAACATAATTTGAGACATACCATTGGCTTAATTTTTGATCGAACAAAAAGAACTTTCTGAAGAAATTCTGAAGGTTAGTCAATCAAGACCTCCTTTATGGAATGACCAACATTCTGACTAAAAAAATTTGTTGTATTTTTCATTAATTTAAATTTTACCTTAGACAAAATGAAATTAAAGGTCTCTATTGAAATGTGCAAAAAATTAAAAAAAAATTCTTTTACTATCTTATCTTAGTTCATTATAAATATGATGAAACTCACCAAACGTATTATGGTTTTTTGTTCAATTTGTGAACTTATTTCTATTATTCTGTTTTTTATTTCAAAAGCGTTTCGTAAAAATGTATTTTCCATAACTAAAATACGTCGGAATTTTGAGCACAGTACCATGATGGTGACTGCAGGTGATTCTTAAATATTATAGACAACGCTGATCGCTTGCTGTTTAGTATACACTCTTCACCGCTCATCATGTAATGCTTTCCAATGTGCACGCGGCCCTACAAGTTTATTTTTCCCTATAGGGCCAGTTTATTGGAAGAATGCGTGTACAAAAACTTATCACAAATTAAAATATTCCTTTTTAAAAAAATGAAAATAGAAATGTAAATAAAATATTTAAAAACTGAAATAGTTAGATAACAACATTATTATTTAACCAGGAGATACTAGTTTTAACTCACTATCAGATTAAACATAAACAAGTTTAATATTTTTTTTAATAATTTGACTTAAGACTTTATTGTAATTAATTTTACTAAGTTTACAAATTGGGGGACATTTAATTTATATTTTCACATTTATTATTTATATATTTTATTTATTAAAGCAGAGAAATTTACAATTTTACATTGCGTGATTTCATTAAAATAAACACTTTTGATGATTTTCACATCATAGACATCCAATTTATAGAAAGATTGATTTCCCCATACCATCAAGAAAATATATAAATAAAATAAATAATGTATATTAGAATACAAACAATTTCAAATGCTTCCAACTAATTTTAAACATTTTATAAAATGTTTTTTCTTCTTTAAAAAACTTTTCAGATGTAAGAAACACTTCAAGATATGTATATTAATTTATTTCAGACACTGAGACTTTACAATTAAAATTATGGAAAGTAATAATCTTAAATAATTATTCCTTATGTATGATATTACCTTTGATCAGCTTTAGATTTCAGAAATATTTCTTTTCTTTTTTCAGCTTCATTTTCTCTAATCTGATGAGGAGTTTGTGATAAACAATCTAATGTTTTCAAAGGAGTAGATACTATTTGTTCTAAAGGCACATGTTTTACATTAGATTTTTTTGCACCATTAGGATTTTCTTCTTGGAGTTTTCTCTTCATTGTTCTTGTTAGATGTGTTGGTGGTTCTTCAATATTATTAACATCAATATCTTCCAATTTTTCACGCCGTTTATTTTTAATTTGAGACTCTTCACTAAAAATTGCATACATACATTAACATTTCATATTTATATATTTGAGAGGCAGTATGGTGCAGTGGTAACACAGCTAGATAAGATGTATGCTGTTCAAATCAGTCTTAGTGCAAAAAAAACATACTGCAGAATTAATTCTGTAGTTTTTTCTCTACTGCTACCATTCTGGTTGCCCTTCACTGCTCCATACTGGACCAACTCCTCTTAGAGTAAAGTGTACACACGTGATAATTCTCTACTTTAAGAAGGGGGTATAAGTGCTGCACTGCACTATACCACTACAAAATTGAAAATATATTGATAAAAACTTCTAATGGAAATTTAGTAAAAAAAAAAATATGTATATAGAAATAATAACAACCTTTTAGTTTTTAAGTCTAATTTAGTCGAAGATTGTTGATTCAAACAGTTATTTTCAATATTCATAGGAGATTCTTCAGGTATCAAACAGATTTTATTATTATTTTTTTTTGTGGTATTTGCAGTTGAAGATTTAGGCAGTTTATTATAAGTTGTATTAGGTTTAGCTGGTTTAATATAAGTAATTTCATTTTCAGAGGGAAACATTTGAGGTGATGCACATTGGTCAATATTTGCCATTAACTTTTTATCAACCACAAAGGTAGAATTTGCTATTGGAGAATTAATTAATGTAGATAATGTTCTTGCTCGACTTGCTCCTTAAAAAATAAAAACAAATATTTGATTAATAAATTTTAATAAAAATATTACAAGTTACAAAATATTTTCATTCAAATATAAAAATATAACATAATATATTTATAAATAAATAAAACAGAATGTCTAGTATGAATATATTTTAGTTTTGTAAAAACTGTTTATTTAAATTCTTACTTGTGGATGGTCCACAATTGATTGCTGTAAGATCGATAACACTATGATTTCTTGTAGATGGCATACAGCTGATTGCAGTGGATTCTTTACCACCTTTAATTTTTTCCACAGCCAACTAAAGTATTTATTTTTTGAAAAAAAAGTTATAAAATATTCTTATCATTGCTTTTACAGAATAATTTCAAAAATTATTAACTAAATAATAGAAATAGATTCATTCATTTGAATTTTTTAAATTAAAATAAGAAAAAATTATATATTTTAGAATTCTAATTGTTAAACTATTACTTACCATAGAAGCTTGTCTTCTTGTTCTACGGACAGGTGGTAATGCTGGCTGTTGAAAACTTGGTTCGGCAGCAAACAAATCTCCAATTGGTCCATTTTGGACTTCTATAAAAATTATTATATACAAATTAAGTAAAATTAATTTTAATAACTATGAATAAAATTGTATTTAAAAAACTTATACATTTGATTATATTTTACCTATAAGGTATTAACACGTTAGCAACCAAGAGTCACATATACATGGGAGTCTCTATAAATAAGCCCGTGTCACACATATGTAACACTCAGTATATGATTTCCAACCATGTCAACTATGTGTGACATTGCTTAAAAAACAGGAAAGAATGGTAAAAAAAAATTTTCAAAGTCAAAACAAAAGTATAATTAAATATAATATATAGTACACTTTACTATATATAGTATATTATAATTAATATATAATATAAAATATGGAAAAGCCTACACCGACTACAAACAAAGGTCAGACGCTATAAAGCCAATCTGAAAAAATGGGGCTATCTAGAAGTCATTGGTGTTATGTGAATGCAGTGAGGAACAGACAAAGGATCACTTATTAGAATGCTGTTAATGCCCAATTACCTGCAGTGAAAAGGACCTCACGGTAGCTAAGGCATTAGACATGGCCAAGTACTGGTCAAACGATATATGACAAATTATGATAATGGAGGCTCAGATTACCAAAGAAGTTACCAATAAACGGTCTATTTATTACACTATAGTCCTTGCAATATTATAGTTAATATTATAGTTTTATTTGTTTCATCTTACTTATTTTTTAAATTTTTGCTGCAAGTTTTATTTTATTTTAATCTTTTGTATTCCAGTACACTGCAGCTTACGCGATACAAATAAATGAATTATAATGAAGTATAATTACTTAGAACTAGATATTAATTAGATTAGGTTTGGGTTCTTATCGATTTTCAAATAGGTATTGGACAGCGAACATATTAAAATAAGGAAAGACTGAAATTTAATATATAGATACTTACTGGATTGTCTTTTAGACATTTTCTTTTCGGGTTCATAATTTACTTCCTTAGGTATAACTGATTGTAACAAATTATTATAAAAAACATCTAGTTTTAATGTTTGTTCCTAAAAATAAAATACAAATAAATACTACATTTCATTAATTAGTTTTGAATATAAATATGTTTATAACACAAATTGACAAAATATTATATTTATCTTCAATTAATAATATTACAGAAAAAAATAATATTCATATCAATAATAATAATAATAATAATAATAATAAAATAAAGGAAATCATTATAGATTTTAGATTAAAAACATTTATAAAGTACATGCATTTTACAATAAAAATACTCAAATATTTAGACTATAAATAGTATGTCTCTTGAAATAATAAGCCATTCTAACTACTATTTTTGATTTCTGGTTATACATTATATTTTCTTTTAATCATAAGACACTGAGTTAAAATATGTAGAATCTACATCATCAATAAATATTAGATCAAATAATTTTTAGGTAAAATTAACTTTTATGTCTTAAGTTAAATTTTTTCATTTAAGTTATTTAAGTTTACTAATTTATCATTGATTTTTATTACCTATGTACCTAATAATATTTTTCATAAATAAACTTTCTATAAGTAACAGTTTTAATGTTAAGACATTTTCTGTGGAATGCTGTAGGCAATTCATATTTAAACAGATTCTAATTATATCATGTAGCTGTTTCATTTTTAAAGTGTTATATTTCAAGTGTTTCATGATCAGTAACAACTTATAGAAAATAAATCAAATTAATGTCTTACATTTTCTGCAAATTAAATTGCAAATTAACGACTAATAGTTACAAAATTTAATTGAACAGATCACAATAAGTAAACCTTTAGTGGCAATGTAAAGTTTCATTATTTATTAATAATGATTTAATTCTGCCATAATTTATATTTTTGGACTCTACCACATCTTTAATTAGATTCCATATTAATTTAGGACCAAATGAAGTATCCTAAAATTGGTACTGGATTTTATAATATTTATGTTCATATCGCTAGATAAAATAAGATAGTAATTGACTAACATAACTTCATTTAACTTAAATGGTCAAAAATGCTAACTATTACTTAAGTATGATCTGTAAATATAAAATCACAAAAAGAGAAATCAATTTTAATTTAAAAATATTTGCCATTAAGTGTCTATTTCCAAGAAAATCATTGAGTAAATGAACCTTTACAAATTATTACCAATTATTACATTAATCTATATATTATACAAACAATAACATAATTCCAGGTTTCTATAATTATAATTATATTCAAATTAGTTACTAATTATCACTTTTTCAAAATAAAAACAATTTATATTAACTTGCGTTAATATTAATAATAATATTATATTATAATAGTTTAATATTAATCAATTTAAATATTTAATAATAATATATTAATATTAATAACAAAAAAAACAACAAAAAACATTTCAAAATTATTATTTATATATTTAAGTTATTTTTTATATTTATTGATAAGTATTCTAAATTAAGTATTAAGTATATAATACTCACTATATCAAACTAAAAAAGACAAACACAAATTAACACAATATCTAACTAAAAAAATATTGAGATAATAAGTCTAAACCAAGTAAATCAACCAATGATACAGCAATTGATCAAGGATTTATTCTTATACATTCTCTATGACCAAGTTAAATGAAAACCATTGAAACTTCTTGGTTACATTACTTGTATCTCTTTTGAGTTTTATCTGTTATCCTTACTATGAATACTATTAATCCTTTGTTTGCCTAATTGTTAAATATGCTTTCATTATTTGAGTTTTTTTTTCTGGACTTATTGAATGCTCATCCTTAACACCCTATAATAACTTTATTTCACTATACATTTTATGAAATTTATTTGAATTTCCAGAGTTTATTTCAGATTTCATTTTGTTACGTTTATAATTTATTTTTGATATAATGCAATGCATGGTGATCATAACAGACAGTTTTATACCAAATTTGGCTGCAATACTTTCTGTAATTTCTACAAAATTCTCATAAATTACTTAATAATTGTTATTTGATTTAAATTTATAGCTTAGAAATTATTTCTTTTAATTATTTTATAGAATTAAAAACCTCCTATATTTATTTAGAGAATTCAGCCAAAATTGACTCCCAATTAGTATTTAAAAATATGTAGGCTTAACTTAAATCAATTTTTCAGATTTATAAAAACAAAAACTAGATATAACTTACCTGTATGGTGTTATGAAGTTCTTTATTACCATTGATGGTTAACTTTCCGAAGTCTTTCCATATTTCAAAAATATTTGTAGAATTTGGATCCATCTTAATGAAATACTAAAACATTTAAATTCATATCTAAGCAATGAACAAATTAAGATAAAATAATTTAAAAATTATTTGAATTTATCCAGTCATACATATTGCTCAAATTTGCAATATGTTACACGACTGTTCTACACAAAACACGTTGAAAAATCTTTTTGTTAAATGTGATAAAATTGTATAATAAGCAGTTAATATTAATAAGGAATCAAAACCAAATTTTTAAAATGAAAACAAAAAATTAATATTAATATAAAATAAAACACTGAAATTAGCATCAGCAATATTTTTCATCAAAACTAAAATGGCGTAATACTTATAAATCTTTTAAAAAAAAAAAAAGAACGAAAGCTATAAGGAAAATAATTTTTCCTCAATAAGTATGATCAATAGAATTGTAATCAAATAAGAAGCAATAAAACTATATATAGTATATATAATATAGTTCTTTATTTTTCAAATATACATTTCGGTTAAAACTAACTATTCAAACATTCATCAACCGTTATGAAGGATTAAAAGCAAAAACTTATAATTCGCACTACACATGACGTTTTCGAAAATAAAAAAAAAGACTCAAAGAAAAAATAATAATCACCTGGTCAGACGGACGGCAATAACTGCAATAGAGAAGTATTAACGGATTTCCGTTAGGGAAAATTTAACTGTGGAGCACTTCTCGGCGGCCGCATGCGCGTAGTTAAAGGACCGGCGACGGTAATGCGCAATTCAGAGCTGCGCAGATCGTACGCGTCTCCGAGGAGTTCGAATGTTTTTTTTTCCACGAAGCATACCGAAGCACCATATGACGGCTGATGGCAGTTGTCGCGGTAGGGCGGGATTGTGGACGTCGGTTTTTCGTTTTGTCCGTTAACCATTCATGGTACAAGCGGTATCGGTTAGCATCAGAATCGGTCCGTTACGTGCGTGCGTGCCTGCGACGGCCATTCGTCGCGGGCAAACAAATTCCGACGGTTGCCGTCCTGCGGCGGTTAGCCCGGCAACGGGACTGAGTGTGACCAACCACGATGATAATCGAGACAACCAATTAGAAGCCGCCAAGTAAAAAACCATAACACGAAACACGTATGCCTTGACTATACGATTTATGAGTGCGTGTGCGAACGCCACACGAACAGTTAGAAAATAAAGCCGGTCCCTTCAGCGAAACGCTCTTGTCTTCGTGGTAATTGAATTCGATCCACTATTACGGTCCGTTGTCTCCTATTTGTAATACGTTTGTTCGCTTTGTTTTCCAACGAATGATTTGTTTTTCACTCCGTTAGTTATTTTTTTTTTGCGTCGTTTTCATTCGATTTCCTCAGACGCGCACTGCAAACATGAAATTAATCAGTGTATTGGCCGTGTTCGGGTTCTTGTTGAACTCCGTACTCGCCGATTCCGTCGTCGATTTGTCTGATTCTGATTTCGAGTCTTCCGTCAGCCAATACGACACTTCTCTGATCATGTTCTACGCACCGTGGTAAGCATTAACCTTTCCGGCACCGCTGTCTTACTCTGATGTGCGTGCTTAGACATATAGTTGTTCAATTTGTTTTTTATTTAATGTATTAGGTGCGGTCACTGTAAGAAATTAAAACCCGAATTTGAGAAAGCGGCCAAAAGTTTATTGAAAGAAGATCCACCTGTAACATTGGCAAAGGTAAATATCATTTTTTTGTTGCCTATCATTTGTTTGATAACTTGCCGGTTGAGTTGGATTTAAAAATTATTTTTCAATTTGTTATTTGGTGAATTGCCAGCTCTTTCTGTACGATATATGTGAAATTGTTGCTTTTGTTTATATTCTTATAAAGAAGTTATGCACATTGCTTTGAAGTTTTTAAGTTGAATTTATTTCAACATTTAATAATTGCTTTAGTCAATTAACTTTATTTTGTTAAGTCATCATTTTTTATAAAATCACAATATGGTGCCGAATTATTGATCCTTTTTTTTTTTAAACCATATTCTGATTGATAATCATTGAACTTAGGTTAAATTCAAGACTACTTAAGCTACATATTATTTTTAAATTAATAAATATAAATATAATATATTACATTTTAATGCTATACGATACATATTTTAAGTTATTTGTTATAAGGAATTTTTGTAAATTATTAAAATTATAAGTGTTAACATTTTACTTATTCCTTCAAATTTGACTGACAAATTTTTCTGTACAATACTTAACAAGTGTTTGGTTATATAACATTACTGTGTATCCTATAACTTATCTCAACCCATGAAGATAATTTCAATGTATCTGCTTTTATTTTTTTACAAACAAAATGTTAAGGTTTATTTTTAAATTACACTACTTCATATTTGTACTCTATAATAATCTTATTTTGAAAGATTTGTATGCACATTGGATCTAATTCAAATACAATATGTTCGAACTGTTATTCATTATTCATTGCTTTTTATTAGGCCATAATAAGATTGTGGATAACAAAGAAATTTCTATTAAAAATTCTACTATTGATGCACGTCTTAGATTTTTTCATTATTAAATGAAAAACATAAACTTTTTTAAATTTAAATTATAATTTCAATGTAATCAATTTTTCATTTTCCTTAAATTTATATCGATTCATTTATTATTTTTAAAAAGTACATAAGAAGTTAATTGATTATTTACTGACATTAATAACAATGACTTCCAAATAGTGTACTTTTTATTATGTCTCATACATGGCATTATTCAGAAACATTTATATTATTTTTTATTAATTATTTGTATTATTTGTCTCCGATATTTTAAATGACTACTTTTAGTAATTATTCAAGTCAGCAAAATGTATTGTTACTACAAAATAATAATTATATACTTGATAAATGTTTTTAATTTGTATATACAATATAATAAATTTCTTAAATATTTGTATACATTCATTATATGTACAATTTAATCCTATTATAAAATTTAAGGCTGTTTTATCCATTTTTTAATTGCTTATTCTATTTCCTTTATAATTTAAAATATTTAGTGAATTGTTAAAATTAGTATAGATTTTCAATATTTTCTTTAATAATAATAAATTGAAATTGCTTAAAAGTTGACTTTTTTTATTTAGGTGTAATCGATTGTTGTTAGTAAGTATATTATTTATTGTTAGTTTAGTACTTAATTAAGTAGGTAATGTTGTGGTTTTGGAATATATTTAAAGCTATTTTTTTAATTATTCTTAACAATGTATGATATTATTAATGGGTGAATACCTGATGTTTAAATTACTTTTTTTAATTTATTGATTATAGGTAGATTGTACTGAAGCTGGTAAAGACACATGTAATAAATTTGGTGTTTCTGGGTATCCAACTTTAAAAATATTCCGAAATGGAGAAGTTTCAAAAGAATATAATGGACCACGTGATTCAAGTATGTTTAATTCATTTGTATCAATACTTGATGTATACATTTTTAATTGTAAAACAAATAATCATTTAATTTGTGATTAGGTGGAATTGTAAAGTACATGAAATCACAAGTAGGACCAAGTTCTAAAGATTTGTCTTCTGAAGAGGCAATTAAGAACTTCCTTGCTAAAGATGAAGTGGTTGTAGTTGGATTTTTTGAAACTGAAACTGATCTTAAGGGCAAATTTATTCAACTTGCAAATAAATTACGTGAAAAAGTAAACTTTGGTCATACCACTTCACAATCTGTTATCGACAAATATAATTATAAGTACGTATTCTTTTAATGTTGAATTTATTTGCATTTATTATGTTTTTCCGTGAACTTGAATTACGTTGTAGTTTAGTTTTTGAAATCTCAAGGCATAAAATTATTTTTAAATACATACAACTATAAGTGGAAGAATTTATATTTATGAAGAATGTAATAATCTCTTATATTATATATATTTATATATTTTTAGGAATAATATTGTCCTATATAGACCTAAACATTTAAGTAATAAATTTGAACCAGATTTTGTTGTATTTGATGGAGAAGAATCAACATTAGCTTTAGATACATGGATCACATCTAATTAGTAAGTATAAAGTATTCATCAATGTTCCTAAATTGAAATATCGATATATTTATTTGTGTTTAAACCTCTAAAACTATGGATTTAATTTATTTTAGTCATGGTTTGGTTGGTTACCGTCAAAAAGAAAATATGGAAGCTTTCAAGCCTCCGTATGTTGGAGTCTATTATGCTGTTGACTATGTTAAAAATCCAAAAGGAACCAATTACTGGCGTAATAGAGTGTTAAAAGTTGCTAAGTCAGTGAAAGGTGTTACATTAGCTATAAACAACAAAGATGATTTCCAACATGAAATTAATGAATATGGATTAGAATTTGTAACCGGTGAAAAGCCAATTGTTTTGGCTAGATCTCTTGATAATAAGAAATACATTATGAAAGAAGAATTCTCGTAAGTTTGTTGATGCAGTATTGATTTTAATTAAATTTAATAAGCCAATGATATTTTTGTTATTTTCAATAATACATTGTTCATAATGTTTCTTTAATATATAATAATCAGAGTAAATATAATTTATATTTTTAGATATAATTGTTATGTGTAAAATGCACTTTCATATTATTGATAATTTTTAAAATTCAAATGACCATAGAAAATAACAATACTATATATATTATTGATGATTTGCTTTGATTTAGTTTCATTTTCTTAAAATATGTTTTCAAAAGTGTTGACTCATTAAGTTATGATTTTTTATTATTATTAACAATATTAGTTATTTTTATTTGTGAAATGTTTAGCTTGATTTCTTAATCAAAATATTTTATTTTTAGTGTTGAAAATCTTGAAAACTTTATACACAATTTCCAAGAAGGTAAATTAGAAGCATACATAAAATCAGAACCTATTCCTGAAGATAACACTACTCCAGTAAAAGTAGCTGTTGCCAAGAATTTTGATGATGTAGTTATTAACAATGGAGTTGATACATTAGTTGAATTTTATGCTCCATGGTGCGGTCATTGTAAAAGTTTAGCTCCGGTTTATGAACAAGTTGCTGAAAAGGTAATAATATATTATCTTTATTACAATTTCAATTATTTTAATAATTTTTTATAAATTAAAAATATATATTTAGTGTTCATTTTATGAATTAGCTTCTATGGTATACTTGAAACGAAAATTTGTTATTCAATTAATTTTTAGTACTCTTAAGTCTTTTCCATTGCCTTCTCCAAACTGATTGGGGACAGCCACTGTACTACTTAAGAGTATTTTTAAGTAAATAGATTAATTTTAAACTTGCAATCCTATACCAGTTGGCACTATGTATCCTTTTAGATTCTTATTATTTCTCAAATTTGTATTGGACTTGGTTTCACAATGAATTCTATTAGGCATTTAAATTAAAATAATTTGTAATCTCACTTCATATAGAAAATCATTTTCATATGTGTAGTTTTATCTTGGGTTTAAAATATAATCAAATTTATAATGAATTTGTACACTGTAATTCATTATATTTTTTAAGGTATCCATTAATTGATTATATTTAAAAAAAATTTATCTAACTTTTAGTTGAAAGATGAAGCTGTATCTTTAGTAAAAATGGATGCAACTGCGAATGATGTTCCATCTATTTTTGATGTACGTGGATTCCCAACTTTATACTGGTTACCTAAGGATGGTAAAAATAAGCCTATTCGTTATGAGGTATTGAAATTTATTTATATGAGTTGTATTATACATTAAAATCAATATATTAATTTGTTGTTTTAATATTCAGGGAGGCCGCGATTTGAACGACTTTGTCAAGTACATTGCATCTAAGGCTACAAATGAACTCAATGGTTTTGATAGGTCTGGAAATCCTAAGGAAGGCAAAGATGAACTGTAAATTATTAGTTCAAAATTAAACCACAAGGCTGATTTAATTTAATTTGAATTGGACTACTCCTTTTTTTTATTCAACACTGAGTAGAAAGAATGATTTTTTTTAATTCATCCAAATCCAGTTTAAGCAAAAACTACTTTGAAATTATCCTTGAAATAGATAAATGCAAATATAAATTTATATAGAATTAAATTAATGCTCCATTTTCTTATTCATATCTGTTGCAGTTTAAAGTTGTTGTATTCTAACTTGAATATTCTGTAACAAAATATAATTTTAATAAATATGTTGTGATTTTCTAACTTGTTTATGATTTATAAATATTAATCCTTTACAGTATATTATATTAATATGGCGAGTTTAAAATAAAATATCCTATTATAATTAACTCAATTTCTGCCAGCACATGAAATATTTTCTTTCATTCGTTAGGTTGATTTTTTTCAAGGCAACATATTTATTCCATTGACAATTTATGTCTAATATCATTGATTATGGAGTTACTTTTTCTTCATAATAAAAAAATGATGAGTTCATACTGATATAATCTTTCTATTATTTGTGATGTTGAACTTAAGTTCAACTTGAGTAGTAAAAATGTTTGAAGGATAAAATCAATTCAAATTATTAAAATGTGTATATATATATATATATATATATATATATATATATATATATTTTACCAGTTAAATATCGTTAAATTCGCAAATATTCCTCTGCATCAAATATTACTCAAATTTTCATCTATAAAAAATGTTCAGTAATTGAGAATTAAATGTTTTTGTTAACAACATTCATTCTTCTTATTTTTATTCAACTGTTATATTAATGAGTTACAAGTACAATGTCTTGTATAAAAATATTATAACATTTGTTTTCAGTCCAATACTTCTGCTTGCAATCTACATTGTAATTTGGGACTATTCATTAATAGATTAAATGTTTATTTTAATTGTATGAAACTATTTTAATTATTTAATTTTAATATCGAATAAGCAAAAGCTGTTAAATTATCTATGTGACCTTTATTTTTCATAAATAAAATTATTTTATACTATTAGTCAATGATTTTTTTTTTTTTTTTTTAATTTCCAGCATATTAAGTATTTTCATTAATAAAGAACTATTAAGTATTATAAATCTTATCACTATTTATAATGTGCAGTATTTATTTGTATATATATATTTGTATCAAAGTTAATTTATAAGTAAAATAAACGCAAAATTTGATTAAAAATTATTACTATTAAAATTATATTTTTACACATTAATACTACTAATACCTTTAACTGGTATAGCTAAAATAGTATGTTTAACTTTATTAAGAAAATAATAAAATCTATTAAATTAAAATATTTGGTAATTTATTTATTCGACGCAAAATTTGTAAGTATAGGACTAGTTCACATGGATGGCGCGCATGTTTAAATATACGAGTCTCTCATATGTTCATCATGTGTCGTTCATATGGCGCGTCGATTGCCACACTCTGCCACGTTAGCGTGGCGATATTCTTAAAAACCGCAGCATGCTCGATTTTACCGCCACCACGCAACGGTATTTTCAATTGCATTCCTAATTTTCCCCCAAAATCAATGTTAAAACTTCAAATAAATTTGTATTACTTATTATAATTTTAAATTATTGAATATTATACTCTAAGATAATTAAAAATGAATATTTTTTATTCTTGTATTTTTAAAATTAAGGTTCGATTATTTAGATAATATTGGCTTCGATTATTTCCTAGAAACTATTTAGGTTTATTTAAATAATATGTATAATATAATATTTAACCTAATTGAAAATAATTCATATGAAAATAATACAATATATTATATATACATTATAAGTATAATAGTAAAAGTACATAATATATATAACTAATTTACTATAGTATAGATAAATCGTCAATTTATCAAATAATATATTGTATTACATAGGAATTAATTAATTAACTATACAATTATTGTATGTAATACAGGGTGGTCCAACCCGCGAGCCGTTTGCAGCTCTCTATGCCTTTTTTTTTGGTTCCCCTCAGTTAAATTAATTATTTACTTTATTCATTAAAAATTAAAGTCACAATAATATTTTAACAAAATCGTGATATGATCATATAAATTTTATATTTATAGTTTATGGCGTTTATGCTATAAAACGTAGGAATACGTCGGGAGTTCCCGTGATAAGACGCGATGGACTGCGTGAATTCTATTCACAATTGGGAGCATTAATAATATATAATAATGTGCGCATAATATAAAATTATAAAATAAAATATAAATAGACAAAATATAATTTTTTTTTTTCTGGCGGCCCCCGGTGTGTTTAAGAAAGTGTAAATTGGACCACCCTGATGTTATATATAAATATATTATGTTTATACCGAATAAAAATTGCCACCGCCACCGCGACAGTGTGCGAGAACGTTTACGCGCGTGACACCGCAGATTGAAGTACCGTGTATTATTGCCAGACCATACAGTTGACACACGCACTTCACAGCGATCGGCTTAAAAAAAAAAATCGTGCATTTTTGTCAGTTTCTAGGTCATCGAATGATTTAACAGACTCTCATATTAATTTGTGTAATTTATCTATATTATATATTATTCCAAAAAAATGATCATCCAAATGATTTATTTATTAGTGAAGTAGAAAAAAGACCGGCCATATGATATATGTCGTTTAGTAAATATTCAAACAGAACTTTTTAAATATAACCAATAGGCAGGTCCGGCTCAAGGTATAGGCCAGATAGGCACTTTAGTAGGGGTGGCATTTTCAAAATTGACTCAAATATTTTTTTAGTTATATTGGTGTTTTATAAGAAAAATATTTAAATTAATTCATTCGTGAAAACCACTTACATAAATAATAAAATAATATTGTCTAAAGTTATTATATTACTTTATATTACGGCCTACGCTGGGCGTTTTCAATTATTCAAAAAATATAAATAACCACATATCCGATAGTCGCGGCAGTGATGGGTTTTGAGTAATAGTAATAGAGATCATTTTTAAATATTTTTACATATAATTTTATCCATAAAATAAAAGATTAAAATTTTTTTTAAGTAGATATGTCCCATAAAAAATAGGGGGAGATGCTAAGTTAAAATAAGAGCTCAATTTTTTATTTTTTAGAGGCGGCAAAATTTGATTTTGCCTAATGTACTATTTTTACTTGGACTGGCCTTGCCAATAAGTCATCAAATTATTTAATTGACATTCAAAAAGTAATTAAAAATGTCATGATCTCTAAGCTTCGGATACTAGGTAATATAATCGCTTAAGGAAAATCTAGTTTTTACAATTGGATGGACCCAATATTTTCTTTGTCATTTCATTCTTCCGATATGTGACCCACAAACACACAGCTTTTGACACGTCCATTTTCATTGAATGTATAATAAAAACTGTATACTTAGATGAAAAATAAAAAAAGAATTTTTTACAGAAACATGTTTAAACGTTGGTGTTTACGCGTCCATGTGAATCTAGTATTAGGTTACAGGCCAGTATTTAAAAATTTGGTGCTCTCGGACATATAATTTATCTCCCTCAAAAAAAATCAAAAATAATATAAAACTTATTATGTCTTTTGTCCATAATCAAAATTCTTTAATATTAAAATATAACTTTTAAATGAAAATCGATTAATACCTTTTTTAATTAACAAATTATAATATAATAAAAAAACAATTTTTTTTTCTAATCTACAAATTATAACATAATAAAACATACTATTTTCTTTTTTTATTCTTTTATTTTTTTTTATTAGGTACATCATTTTTAAAATTAATTTTGCTAAAATATTTTACCGCCACTGAGATTCGACGCCTCCGGGCATATGCCTACCCGTGCCTCCTAAATATGGGCATGGATCCTAGCCTTAATATACAACACTTGACACTCAACTAAACAACAAAATTAATTTAACACCTTTATTATATTTTGTATTCTTAATATTTATCAATAAATTAGGATAGTATTTAATTACATTAAACGATTTCATATTATTGTTGTATTAACATTCAAATGTATTATATATATATAATATATATACAAAGTAGTTTAGCTTATTTGCGTATCGTTGGTCCGGACATCCGGTCAATCTGGACTAATACAAAATAAAAATTCATTAATGTTTCACTGTTGTTTCATAGTACATATTATGTACAATATTTTTATTGTTGGCACCAAAAAAATAATATTGAAACTGAATTAGTCATTTTTTTTATTTTAAATTATTAATTATTATTTTAATTCATTTTAATTATTTACTTTAAATATCTTACCTACATATGTCTCGTCTAATAACTATTTAAACCCTTTCAAACCCAATGTTCTCTATAAGAGACAATATTTATTTATTACAATCGCTATGCATTATAGTAATTTATTAATTAAATTCAAGAAAAGTATCATAGAATCCGAAAATAGTTCCATAAACAATTTGTGTTTGGTATTATTTGTTTACTTGATATTTTATTGTTTTTAGTTTCATGAAAATAGTATAATAATAAAACGGTATAATAAAAGTTCGTAGTTTAATAATTGATAATGATAAGTTTTTTTTTTGTTTGTCAAAAACTGGGAAATTGTTTAGAACTGATCCGTTTTAATCCGATTCATAATACTAATTTTATCGTATATATAAGTTTCATACATTTGGGACGCTTACGTTCGTAACTGTCACTGTGTGCCGTTGTGTCCGTCCATACGGGCCCGCGATGGGTACCTTGTACTTTTCATATGAATTTAAATTATTATTCATTATATTTTATTTTAGTATTAAGGGGGCAGGAGCAACTATTTTTTTTTTCATATATTTAGCTCAATAAACAAATGAAAATTAAACATACTTCCAGTAGCTCAATTTAAATTTTGAAAACTAAATTTGATTTGTATTTCTCTTTTCATTCTTATTTACAACAAAGTCAAGTATAAGTTTATTTTGAGAAAAATATTAACTTACTATGTATCATATTTTATTAACTAAAAATAAAGTCGTAAATCTATTTCCGAGCAAACCCAGAAAAAAGACTAACGAATTATTTTATACAATATGGCTATCAGTGGCAGGACTACATGTAGATAAAAGTGGGATTTCACACAGGCTTCGGCATAAGAGCCTCCAACGATTTAACTTAAAAAATTACGAAAATTAAAATTTAAAAAATTATACTAATAACCTCATAAAGTTTATTTTTAATTTTTAGCTTTACATGCGTTCTGGTAAGTAAACCGTTGCATAATTAATTTTGGAAGTTTAGAATAATAGTAATCTAGCATGATCAATAAATTTTATTAGATCTTAACTTAGTACATATGAAGATGGTTGGTATTTATGCATTTATTCGTATTAAATATAATATCCAAGAAAAAAAGGAGTTATAACTGTACTAATGCAAAATAATAATTTTATCACATAAATAAATTATCGATTGTAACTTGTATCCTGCTGACATTTATTACGGCGGAATAACCAATCAAATTGAATCTTTTAAAACATTAATTGGTTTTTGATGTAACTAAATTTAAATTACAACTGCTTTATATGTAAAGTATAAATGCTCATATTTATTTTAAAATTTTATTATATTTTTAAATTTATAACTTATGAACTTTAATTGTTAATAAATTCATAATATAGCAAAGCATCAACTATAATCAAATAAATAAAAACACAATCATAAATATAAAGCACAATTTATGAATATTTAGATTTTAATTTATCTTGTTATATAAAGATTGATTATTTATTAAGACTTAAAATTCAAACTATAGTTTTACATTTTAGAACTGAATTATTACTTTTTAAATAAGAAAAAAATCTAATTTCCTACAAAAGCTTGATAAGATACGATAATTGTAAAAATTAAAATATCAAATTTGCTATGACTTATTACATCAAATAAAACTTTTTTAAGATAATACTCTTTACATGATATAGGTAAATATTAAACAAAATAATTTAAGTCATTTCTAATGTCATTTTTTTTTTACTTTTTCAATGTACAGTCTTTTATCATTAACAGACAAAGAACAACATTGTTGTAGTCTTTAATAATAAGTAATTAAAAAAAATATACTAGTTAGGTTTCTATGTATTAAGTGTACAATAATAATATAAATTTATTCACCTAATAATCAAAAAATACTAAAATATATTTCCAACTATAGTACAAAAAATCCCACATAAAATATTTACATTAAACATATGTAGTTATAATAAATAAAATATTATTATTAATAAATATTGCCAATATAGCCTAGTATATTTACAGTGTGCATTTTCATCACATCTTATCTATTTACAATTGGACAATTATTATATTGTAATATGAAATTATGTAGCTTATTTAAATAAATAAAATTATCATAAAACAATTACAAGTTAAATTAATACATATTTGCACTTATTTATACATCAATATATACAAAAAATAAAAATAAAAATTGTAAGTTTTCTAAGAATGTGTACATCTTAAGACTTTAAAACCAAATCTTTCGCATCGATTCGATATCACAGCCTTTTAATTAAGTGAAAAAATGATTAAAAACCCAATGAAAATAATCCAATATGAAGGTAAAGAAATAAATAAAATATAATATGAAATACATCAATTCAATGATATTAATAAAAGTTTTGTCTGGAGCTAATAGTTCAATAAACTACACTGATATTTCTTATTTTTAAAAATTAAAATTTTACAAAATAATAAGTTATAAAAATAATAATAATCATAATAATTATAAAATTATAATATGAAATTATGATTAGAGCTAATAAACTAAGGTAAATCATTATTAACTTTGATCAGACTTGTCCATACAGAAACATATGTTATATATTAAATAAATAATTTAAAATGTTAGGTATAGAATGAACTACCAACAAATATTGTAATAAGACAATTGTTATCCTTTCAACATAGTTCAATAAATAATTAAAGTATTATAAATTTGATTTTAAAATGTTGAAATATGAAGATGTCTAAAGCTACTATTGTTTAACAATATTCCCAGGTTTAAATTTAACCTTTAATGGAAAGACATCATTTTTACAATTACAACATTAATAATATTAATTGTTATTTAATGTTTCTATCTAAAGCAAACACTCTTAAATTGAAACTGAAAATACAAACAAATCAATAAAGCCTAACGACTCGATAAATTAGGCAAGTGATTTAAACAATAGCTTAAAAAAAGTAAGGATTCTCAAATTAAATTTTATCTTAAATATTAAAATAATAGTGCATTAAATTGAGTTAATTTAAGTCCCGAGTTCTAACAAAATATTATTATATTATATTCATCAAATAACAATGTTGGGACATCAATCACATACATTTTTTATAAAGGTTTACCAGTATAAGGTGCTGGATATAATGGATATCCAAGACCAACATGTGTATGGTGATGAGTATGTACATGCCTTTGAGGAGGTGGTGAACGGCAGTCTTTTGGGTCACCAGTTGATCCAGGTTTTCCAGAAGATTGGGTAGAAGGAGGACCAGAAGAAGTAGTACGTTCAGTGGCAGATGGTACAATGCCAGTTGATGTTAAGGATGGAGATTGTCTAGTTCCTGGTGATGGAGCAGGAGTAAGACCAGGTTGTGCATTTGGTTTTGGCGTTGGAGACTTAATGGCACGTTCTTGTAATTCGTGTATTTTATGTGAAGAATAATATTGACTAGCATGATGTTGAAGGAGATCGAGAGCTGCTTTAGGCCCAGATGGTGGTTGGGAAGGGGTTGATGACTGTGTAGAAACAGCTGGTCGAGAGAGATCTTCAGGTGCATGATACCGTTGCATTTGAGCATGAAGCTGAGGATGTAAATAAGGAGGTGGTGGAGTGTTACCATAAGGTCCAGGTACCAACATTGGATTCATTGCGCTCCGATACATTGGATCGTATGCCAATGCACCAGCAAAATGAGGAGATTGCATAAAACCTGGATGTATATAAGCATATGAAGATGTAGGAGGTGGTGGTGGACCTTGTGTTTCCATTGTGGGTTTTACTCCTTCTGATAAATGAGAAGTATTTTTACACATTTTGTCTTCTTTCTTATCTTCGTGTTTTTCTTTATGCTTATGAATCAAATTTGTTGCCATAGAATGTTTCGTTGGGGTACTCTGTGTATTTGATTTAATATGTGAATGATCACCCGAACCATGGTCCTTACGTCTCTGATCTGGATATATATAATAACGTCTGACATCATCTGCCTGCTGTTGCTGTTGCTGTTGTTGCTGCTGTTGTTGTTGTTGCTGCTGCTGCTGCTGCTGCTGCTGTTGTTGTTGTTGTTGTTGTTGTCGTGAAAACATATAAGCTGAATTCATTTGCGACTTCATTTCAATACTTTCTTTCATAATTTGATGATTTTCATTTTGATGGGAAGATTTTTCTTTTGGTATTACTTGATCTGATTTTATTTTGTTAGGTTGAGGAACACTAAGAGAAGTGGTAATTGAAGATTGATGATTTTTGTCATCAGTTTTTATTTCTTTATCTTGAACCATTGACATGGGATATCCTGGTCCCATATTATAAGGATAATTCTGAACAAATGAATCATAAGTAAAATATTGTTGTAGAAGTTTTTGTTGCTGATAATCAGCTGCTTGAGTCGATTGCACATCTTTTTTATTATCTTTATCCACAGTTGAAGATGACAATTTTAATTCTTGTGGATGTTGGCTAATTTTTTCACTTTCTTTAATTTGTTTAGGAGTTTCACTTGATTGAACTGAAGATATTAAATAAGGTGGTTGACCATAGTAAGAAGGGTACATATTATAAGGTTGAATTGGATGAGGAGAATGAGCTGTACTTGGTTCAGACTTTTTATCAGTAGTTGATAGTTTTTGTTTATTCACATTATCATTCATTTCAACTTCAAGAATTGGTGCAGTATCATCAGAGATATCAGAATACGCTGGACTTTGAACATCTTCACGGCCACAATTAGAACTATCAAAAGATGGTTGATCGATAGAAAATGGTCTTGGACTACTAGCTGGAGACTTACGATTTTTCTTTTTGTGTGATGATGATGCTACTTTATTTTTGTTGTCTTTATTGCTTTTCATATTATCTTCAGCTGGCATTAAAGCAGAAGCTGGTTTCACTTTAAACTGAGGTACTTTTTGAACTTGTGGCTGATTCAATGCTAAAGGTTGAATTTGTGGAGGTGTAGGTAACTGTTGAGATGCTGGACTTTGCACATGTAAAATTGGTGGTTGAGGTTGCGGTGACTGAGAAGTAGGAGCAATAGCTTGTAATGGAGTAGCTGGCTGCAGCAATGGTGGTGGAGTAGGAGATGGTTGAACAATAGGTACTGATAGAACAGTTTTAGGAGCAGTTGATGATGGGGTAACACCATTAGTTTCTTCATTACCAGAAAGACCAAAACGAAGTACACTAGGTTTTGCAACTAAAAGAGGAGGTGATTGTAATGGAGCAGGTGGATCCGATTCAATTACTGGAGGAGTTGTTGAAAGTTGTGGTTGTTCAACAGGTTGATTATTCACAATTGATACTTCTTCTTTAATGTTTTCTTGGATACTTGAATTACTCACTGAAACAGGGCTAGTATCATCTTCATTTTCAGAAGTACTTGCTCCACCTGATTCTTTAGTATCAGCATCTTCATCATCCAAAGCAGCACCATGTGCATGAGACTGATGATATCTTAAACCATTTGCATTTTTATACTTTTTAGAACAATTTTGCTCAGGGCATTCTAACATAGTAGGTGACAAAGGTGGTGGACTCGCTGGTTCTGCTTTTATTTTTTTCCCAGAAGCTTCATCTTCTGATCCTGGTGGTTTCTTTCTTTTATTTGAGCTATTAGAATCTGAACGAGGCGGTACAAATGAAGATGGAGTAGGAGATGATGTTCCTCTTCGATTTGAATTATTACTGTTGTTACATTTATTTGTTCCATTACTTCTAAGCTTACTATGAACTGAAGACCTAGTTTCAGTAAAATTTACCAAATCATTACTAGGACTAGCAGTTAAACTAGCACGGCCCCTTTTCCCACGTCCTTTTTGAGGTAAACGACATTCTGGTTCTCCAGCTGATGCTTCGGAAAACCTATAATAAATAATAAATATAGTTTAAGTAATTTATAGTTAGTGAAAAGTATGATTGAATTATAATTGTTAAATATAAAAATTACCTAGGTGGAGCCCAATCATGTCTAGTACAATCTAATAATGTTCCTATGTAAGTTTTTCCTCTCCATGTTACATTAACAACAAGTACACCTATAAATAATTTAAAATCATCAAACTAGCAAATCATATTTGTAAATAACTTGGTATTCCCTAATAGAATCAATTTTAAATTATTTCTTGAAAATGTTCTACTATTTTAACTATTTCTACCTTCAATTTCATTCCATACAATTCCTTCTAAATTGACATGTGTTCCAGGTTCACATGGTCCAAAACAATCAGGTTCTGTAACAGTTCCAACACTTATGCTAGTACCAACACAAGCATCAGCCGTTTCCTGAAATTAAAATATTAGAAAATGTCAGAGGTCATTATATAATATCATCCAAATAAATATAAAAATATCTAATTAAAAATTAAAATGATTTTCTAGACTAAATCCAAATTATCATTTATTATTTATCAATAATATTGTATAACTACAGTATTGAAGATTACAAAAATTTATATTTATAAAATTATAAAGTATTTTTTTGCTACTATACATTATAATACACATTACATTAAATGCTATAAATTTTTTGAAAACAAAGGTTATATAAGTAGTTTTAGACATAGAAATTTAATATGTTCACTGTTCATTGTACAGTCACAAGTCTATAATTCAAATATGCTAAATAGATTAACATAGACAAGTTTTTAATTTGGAATATTGGAGATCATTTGTAATTTTATCCTTTAATTTTACTGAAAAGATATCTAACCTCTGTAATTAAAAATGCTCTAATATCAAAAAAGCAAAACAAATTGGATTACATTAATCAGTTAAAAGACAATATTTAACACTGTAAAATGAATCAACAAAAATGAAAAATTCAAAAACTAACACTTGGAAAATAATAATCGGAAAGAAACAAATAATATAGCTAGTATACCTTTTGTTCCATTAAGGAAGCAGAAGTTGAACTATTAGCAGTCTTTACTTTGTTTGTTGGGGGTGGTGAGGTAGATTGTAGTGGTTTTGATAAGGTAGACAAAGCCGTAGAGGACTTAGTAGTAGTTTGTGTATTTTCCAATAAAACTACAGGGGGCGTTAAATTTTGTTCTGGACCATTGACCACATTTGAAGAAGTTGAAGTTCCTGCTTCTCCAACTGGTGGTCCAGGAGGACCAGGTACATTAGGTGTCTGTGTATTGCTTGATAAAGCTGGGAAAGTGTTGGTTCTAGGAGTTGATTGACTAACAGGCCCCCGACCATTTAGCTCAGAAGACAAACTAGAATTAACTTTATGACACTTATCACCACTAGTAGATGAACTATGTTGTTTATCTTTAATTTTATCTCTTCGATGACTGCTAGATCCACGTTTAACAGAACTTACGGTTGCAGTAGTACTGGTTGATGAAGTAGTACAGTTGGTACTTGATGTACTGGAATGTTTACCTGAACACAAAAATAATTTAACTTTTAATTTTAATTTTATTTTTTGGAAACTAAAATAAAATGTACCAGTTTGTTTAGACTCGGCTGAGGATCCAGATGAGTCATTTGAAGAGGCACTACCACTTGATTGAGATTGGGTCGAAGCTAAAGACCCATTTTGTTCGCCAGGCTTGACGATTTCATGTTTAGCTTCAAAGCTCTTGGTTCCTGTTTTTGTTCGTTTGATTTTCATTTTTAATCCTTTATCAACAGTAGCTGAATGCTCAACAGTAGCTTTATTGCTGCCAGCTGTAGTGGCCGTAGGTGCAGTGGCAGCTGCTCCTGACATGGCTCCACTACCAGCCGTTAAACCGACTGTGGTTGCCGCACTGTTGGTAACACCAAGGGCTTCACTAGTTGCTGATGTTGATGTTGATCCTGTTTTTTCAATATCTGCGTCTAAGTCGATGATTAAATCGCCTATACCAATATCCCATTCATTGTCGTCGTACTCAAAATTTGCATTACTACTGGTATTGTTGTTGTTGCCATTACTACTTCCAACACTATCTGTGGACGCCGCCACCGCCCCACCCAGCTCCTCTCTCATTGGGGCCGCCATCCGTGCCCAGGACCGCGAGCCCCGACCACTAACACCATTTTATTCTTTCCTAAAATTAATAAATAACATAAATAATGCAATCGAGTTTATACACTAATTTATTACATTTAGGTAAATAATATATAAAAAATGAAGGTACTAAGTATATAACATCTTTACATGAACATAATAAATGATAATTTTACTCTCACAGTTGATAGGTTATTAATTAGGATATTCTCTATTTTAATTTAAAATTATAAATTTTTAAAACATTGGCTTTATTTTTATAAATATTGCATAGTTGTACATAAAAATAATTACATTTCAGTTATAATATATTAAATATATTTTTAGACCCTTGATAATAAATACATAATTTCATTGGATTTTTAATATCCTTTCTTAAAAATTATAATTAATAGGTATAAGTTATAATAAGTTATATTTGTTGTTATAAAAATGAACATTGAAGGGAAAAGAAGAAGAGGAAGACTAAAAAAGAGATAGTTGGATATAATTGAGAATGATATAAGGGCCATTGGTATGTGCGTATGGATGTAGAAAATTGAGATGAGTGCAGTTTTAGGACAAGGGTGGCCGACTCCAAATAGTTAAGAAAAGAACAAGAAGTAGAAATTACAAAAAGCATTAATTTTATTTTATTTTTTAATACTTAATGGCAGTTAGAATTGAAATAATGAATGTGAGATATAGAAGGTGTGTCAAAAGCGGATAAAGGTCCACCTAGATTCTAAGCATTCCGAGGTACATTTTATACAATGAGTGATAATAAAAAAAGATATAAAAAAAACTATTATTTTAACTTTCCATTAAATATTTTAATAATTTAATTAGTAGATATTTAGTAGAGTCACCTAATGAATAAAATTAATTAATCTTGTTTATGCGAAATAAAATTTATATTTTGTTATTATTTATATGCCATGATATATTTAATTTTAATTTGTAAATAAATTTTAAATAAAATTACATCATATTGTATTTAATTAAGTAACCAAATTAAAAACTCAATAAATTGCTAAATTAGATTATAAATTTTACCTCAAATTAATATGTTTAAGTTCTGTATATTATAAGTATTTAATTATCAAAATCCTTTAAAAAGATATTAATCCTTATAGTTGAAAATCCAATACATTAACATACTTAACATACAAATTAAAAATTAGAACTGGAAATAAATCAAACGTTTTATATTTAATTAAATATAAATATATTCATTAATTCAACAAAAAAAGATAAGGTTAAAATGACAATACACCCTAATAAAAGCTTACGTTTTCAAACTTTATTAAATCAGAAACTTTCTAGGTTATTTTTAAGAATTTATCTATAATATAGTTTATCTTAAACAATAATATATCTCTTCAATTGAATATCAAAGTTTATTTATTAGATAAACATATAATAATTAGATCTACTTAAATAGTTAATAATGTATGGACAATTAATTTAATAACTAAATAATTTAATTACTAATTATATTTAATTGATATTTAAAAATATATTTTGGAAGTTCAATATACTTTATGATTAATATTAATGAATTGTCTGATTAATGGTAACATTTAATTTATAAGTAGTCATTTGTACTAAACACTTAAAATTAATGAAACTACCTAAATATCCAATTATTGTATTTTGGTATTTAATGGCAATTGTGTAAATTTTTAAAATATTTGAATTTCAATTATTAGTTATTTATATGTAAAAAATACAGTAAGTATAATGAAATAAATAAAAAAATTATTTTTATATTTTAATTAATTAATTATCTTCAAATTTAAGCTTTATAAATTTGAATATTATGTATAATATTGTAAGACCAAGCTAAGTTATAGATTATATGTATATAATTTCTCAATATAGAAATTATAAATAGAAAATAAAGAGGAAAATAGAAGAATTATTTGTATTATACATAATTATATTTTCATATATGTACCTATATATAGTTAAATTCAATAGGTTATTCAATAAAAGTAGAGACCATTAAAAATTATAAATTATTTAGAGGTATGGGGTAATTTGTTATGGAAAAAATGTGTCTTGTATATCATTTTAATTTAATGTAGACAAAAAATGTCAAGCAAATAAATTACAAATATTAAAAAAGATTAATAATAAGTATATAAATTGTGATAATTGGGATTTTTTTTTTAAAAATAAAATTAATTTTTCTCAGACTTCTAATTATTATTAACTTATTTACAATTTAGAAATTGTAAATTTGATTAGTACTTTCAATTCAAAATCTACCATGTATACAATCTTGTTATGGTTTACCATTTTAATGAATTTCGACAAACCATATTATAGTATAAACTAATTGAAATGTGGTCAAACAATTTTAAAAAATTATCTCACGATTTGCCATTGCCCAAACATAGGCATCATTACCTAGTCAAAACCTAACCAGTAAAATCAATGTAAACACATAATGTATGGTCTACAATTCTAGGAACCAAGATAATGGAAGCACAAGAATCTATTTAAATTGAATTAAGGGAACGGGGATGACGCATTACCGGCATAGGGACCGACGAATCACTAACAAGGACAAACGATACGCTGAAGGGATCACCAGACGAACGCCCGCGGCCACGAACAAGAGGTCGTGGTCGTCAACTGCGGCCATCATTTACACACGTAAGCGAGGAAAAGGAATGAGCTAAACTGCACAATAGTAAAGCACACGAGAATGTGTCGCAAAAAAGGGCATATACCTATCACATCTCTGGCGCGCGCGTTGAAGACCGCACCGCGCGCGCACAGTGACGGATAACAAATGTACGGTGTACTCACTAAAAGTTATGTAATCCCAACGTAGAGGATTGCGTTTCCGGTGTGGTACATCAAGATTGTTTTGACGCCGAGTTGGGACTTGTGAGTTTTCCCGTTTAACTCGGCAAATCAAAACAATGTTAAAAACACAAACAAAATGGCTGATGCACTCAGTCAGACGACTGTAAAACCGCAGAGCAGTGGGACATTTTATGCGCGTCGCCCGGTGGTGTTGCACTTGTATCGGCCACAGCGGTGATGCGAACACTCGGATGGTACGGTTAACACAGCACTCAAGGCTCGAACCGGAACAATCGGACAGTAAAATCGGTAATTAAAACGTCGCAAACATACGCCCGGCCTCACGAAAATATACGATAGCTAGTAAACGGTAAACAACACCCTTCGGTGATATGTTTTTTTTTTTTTATTTCACATTTTCCAGTCCGTACACCTTGGACGTGCTTTGGACACGTTCTTTGTTTGTATTAACGCGTGGTTCGATATTACATCGGTAGAGTGCAGCAACACCATCGCCACCACTCAGAAAGTCAGTTTCCCGGCGGTGCCTCATCCATCGCCACCATCAAAACCAACAACCAATGATATCGCGTACGCACAATGAATAATAATAATAATAATAATAACAATAACAATATATTATGGTGTATTACGTATACATCCATAATATTATGGTATGCTGCAGGTGTGCTATCAACAATTTGTAATATTTTTAATTTTTCTTAATCTTTCTAATGATACACGTATTTTACTATGACCGGTTTCTATACAAAAAAAAAGGTTTTACAAAAAAATAAAATCACTGCGACATCATAAATCATAAAAAAATCAGTTAATTGTTGGTTTATAATTTAATATTTGTACTACGTATATGATGTAAGCTAATTGTTATGCATAAAGTTAATACATTGCCCCATATATTGTAAATTCATTCTTATACATTTTTTGTCAACTGAACTCTTGGAAAATTTAAAACATTTTTTACATTTTTTTTTTTTACTTTTATTATCATTCAATTACAATGTTTATTTTTTCATAAATGATTTCAGTAAACTATCCATTTTATTTGTTAGGATACTTTTATCTATCAAGTGTAACTATTTTATTAATAATCCATTAGGCGTATTTAGTCACCATTATTATTAGAATCTTAAGTTTTTCAAATAATGGCATACATATCTTAGTAATTTTATTGATTATTGCCACTGTATTATTAATTATTTATTTTTACATAGGTCTAAATTATGGAATATTTCTCAATTTTCACGGACGTTTCTTTAAGAGAGTTTTAGAAGTTCTTTGACATTTTTAGAACCTAATTAGTCATATTTACCGCTTTTTTTATTAATGATAACACATATTGATAAAATGTTTGAATGAAAATGAAAATTAGTTAATAATAATTTGTAACTTAAATTTTATTTGTATTTTATTTTTTATAATTACAATACTTTAAAAACTATTAAATATTTCATTTTATATTTTGTTATTAATAATGTACTGTGATAAAGTTATAGAATTATTAAAAGAGTTGGAACGTTCTCGTGAAGATACTATACCTCCGTACAATGTACTTTTTTCTACTATTAATAATTTTATTCAAACTTTATATACCTACTGTATCAATAATAAAAATAAATTAAATTTTTAACTTACAGAATGATGGAATTAATCAAGTTCTCTCTGAAATGAAAACTTTAGATACTGAAATTATAGATATTGTGTAAGTTGACTTTTTTATATCAACATAATAAGTATCAAATGATTAATTAATATCCATATTTTTTATACCTTTGGTTTTTTATTTAATTCAGACGTAAAAATGAAAAGGGCAATTGGCCTACAAATGCAATTCGTTTACGACGTGCAGCTATTGAAAGAAATAAAAGATGTTTAATGACTTACATGTAACACTGAATTATTTGTCAATTAATAAAGTAAAATTAACCAACAAACTAAAAATTAATAAATATTTTAGCTGGACTAGATTGCAACGGTTAAAAGAAATGAGATGGGAGATTGGTGCTATTTTACCTTCAGATGTAAGGCAGAATCTTTCACAGTCTGAAGTATGTGATGACAAAGAATTTAATAATTCTTCTTTAAATCATAAATTATTATTATTGTTTAGATCGAATGGTTTAATAATTATTGTAAATCTCTGGTGTCATACATGAAGACAATTGGATCAGATACTGGATTAAACTTAATTGAAGATACTAAACCACCAAAATCACTTTATACTGAAGTAAATTTTATTTTTATTATAACTCTCCATTCATAAAAATAATAATAATTGAAGTAAATTAATTACCATACTTATCTTTATTATGATGAAATGTCTATTATATGCTTAATAATATGCTTTACCGTTTTTAAAATTAAGTAGTTTAACAGTTATTGAACTTGAAATGTTTATCTTAATATTAATTTTTATAACAAAATAATAGCAGCTATTTTATCTTAACTTAATTTTTACATGCAAAATTCTTAATTTACGATTAATTATTATATTAAATAAAAATAATATTTATATAATTAAATGTCAACATTTTAGGTAAGAAGTTTAGTTGATGCTGGTAAGTTAGAGTTAGAAAGTGGAGAAGTCTTAATTTTAAGAAAAAATAGTCAATATATGTTATCAAGGTCACAAGCTGAGCCACTAATCCGTCAAGGTGTGTTGGAACAAGTTAAACATTAAGTTTATATTTAAAAAAATATAAGAATTATATACACATTTTATTTTGATTATAATGATATTTAATTTGTAATAAATAATTCAGTTTTTGTTTTTGAATTATTGAAATTTTTTCACATAGTAGTAATTAATAAAAGAATATATTTAAATTTTATCTAGTTTAATTATTTATTTTACTTATTTATGTAGCTATTTATTCATTTTACTTATTAGAGAGCTAGCCCAGAATGTTGATTTTCTAAAAATATACAGTAAAATATTAAGTTATGTTTAAATGAGTAGGTGAACAATCAAATTATTTATTTAATTAATAAATTTAATTGTAATTAGTGAAATATGCTTAATATAACTTGGAATAAATTGAAACTAGTATTAAATTAAATATTTTATATGTCACATGTAATTTTATTTTAGATATGTTTCATTTTTATGTAATTAACCATTTTGATCCATGGTATAATATATTTTTTTGGTAGTAATAGTTTCAAACTTTATCTTCAACAATTAACTATTATTTTATATTTAAATAAACGCAGATCATTTATTATTTTATTCAAACAATAAACTGTTGTGTAAATATAAATATGGTTTACGGACATGTATTTGGTAAAATACTTTTAGGAAGGGCAATGTCTATTTCATAGACATGTGCAGGGGGTATACAGGGTATGCAACTGCATACCCTAAACATAAAGCCTTCTTTTTAAAATTACAAAAAATAATTAAAAATTATTACATATGTGGTCTTATATATATTATGTGATTTTATTATATTTTTATATTCAGTCCCAGACAGTTTAAATTATTTTTGAAACACTAATCATATGCTAACCAGAATTTCAAACGTTTAAATTAACTTTCAGTTTAGGGAGGGAGGCAGTGGCAGCCTTTTGTATACTTTGAAAAAGAGGTCTGCTCACGCCTATGGAATATTTTTTAGCAATATTGAACAAAAGTTAATGTCACTAAATTGAGTTAAGTTTTGTGAAAATTATAATGCTATGTTTTTGTGGTAGGTTAAATTTTAATTTACATCAAAAGTACTAGTACTAGGTCGCAGTTTTATGAATTTATAAAGTGGCGAAAGCGCATATCTCAATTTTAATAATAATAATATCTATTGATATTCTTCAAGAATTGAAAATATAATATTTGATAAATGATAAGTAATCTGTGATAACAGCCCTTAAAATTTGTGATAATAGTACGTGTTAAGAGTGAAAATTATATATGTATAGTCAATTATGAAAGTAGATTTCTAATAAAAGATCATGTGATTTTAAAATCTTAATTAATTTTTGTAATTCATAAATTGTGTTTTACGTATGTAATTAATTAATTTAATATTTATAATTTAACACTGTTGTATAGTTTTTAAAAATGTAAAATGGTTTTGGAATCTTGTTCTGTGAAGAGATTATTATTGTTTATAATATTCATTGGAGGGTATGTATATTTTTATATTAATCATATTTTTATTAGTTAATAATATTTTATGTACAATATATTATATTCAGTGGCGTAGTCATGAGAATGTTAAAGGGTTATAACCCCTCAAAATGTGTCTCTTATTTTTTAAAACGTACAATAGCTTTAAGATATAGGTATAATGTTATATTATGTTATTAAATAATCTTAACAGTGTCAATAAACTAGATAATAACAAATTGTATACTTTAATTTATGTTTAATCGACTTATTAGAATAAAAAAATTGGTACTTATGTTGGAGAGAATTGAAAATTTAAAATCCCTCCCAAAATATTTTTCTGGCTACACCATTGATTATGTGCAATATCCAAATTATTTTAATTTAAGTATATTTTTTAATTTTAAGATAAACAATGAATTTATTTTTATTTTTATTAATAGTTAGATTAACAATCAACTATAATATTAATTAAACCATTTTTAGGATTACTCTACTGATTTTTTTAAGAATTACATCTTCAAGTGCATTATCTATTCTTAATGCTACTGTTGCAACAGAATTATCTGAAGGCATAAAAGATCATAAAAACTCTTCTAATAAATGTTGGTTACGAGAAGAAAATACTATTATCAAAGAGTGCCATTTATGTTCTAATAGACCAGAGTGCATAAATACAAGTTTTATTGAAACAGTTAAATGTAAAATTTCTGGACTAGTATATAGAAAGTATGTATTACACATGAAAATGACCAGTTAAAATAGGTTTGCCATATGTCTTGGTTTGGCCGGCATTATGAGTATGGCGTCCCAGTGTTCAGATGATTTTTTTTCGGGACAGCCACTTGTTCAGGAATAAAACTTCAATAATGTATTTATTTTATTGAACTCTAGGTTGAAAAATCATAATACTATTCTCATGACAAAACAAAAAATTAGTAAAGTTAGTTTAGTCAATATAATTGATTGATGAGAATTCATCATTTTTTATTATTTTCTCGACTATGTGACAATTATATTTGTCAGAGACTTTTTTCATATTTCCATTCTCTCAAGATATGAGTCTTAGAAATCGCTAAACAAATCAACCATAATTTAATATGTTGTCAGTTGTAGTGAACTAATCAATGTAGCTTAGAATAATCATACTGTAGTTAGTGTTTATTTCAGATATTCTATTGTGAGGAAAAGGGTGGGCATGTGGTACGCCATAGAAGTAAATAATTAATAAATAATTATGTTTTTATAATAATTTTACCTGTATAATCAAAAAATCATTAAAAAGTTTTATCAATAAGAAAAATTAAAAAAAAAATTTTATCCCATTTTTTACTAAATAAAATATGTTAACTCTTAATTAAAATTTTTTTTCCACTCAAACTTCATTAAATTTAATAAAAATTATGTTTTATACAAGGCTAATCTCTGTGGTATATTACATCTAATATTTCAAGTGATAATTTATAATGTTTGTGTAATAATGTATTTTAATTAATAGTTGTCACAAACCAATAGTTCCAATTTCAGAAAAAAACTTTTGGATATTTCAAGGTTTACAATTTTTACTTGCTGTAATCGGTTTGTGTGTTATACAGTATAAAAAAAAACAGTTCCATAACAAACTAATGAAAAGAATTCAAAAACAGTTAGACTCTGTTGTATAGCAATGTATGTATATTTCATAATTTTTATAATGTATAAATTAATAATTTTAACAATTCATTTGTGCTATTTTTTCAGATAAATATGTCTTCTTTATTTGTAAATATAATTAATTTGGATGAAACCAATAAGTATGTTATATGCTCTCTACGAACAACAATTGTTTTATTTGTTTGTCAATATGTAAAAGCTCCAGTTATTCTTGTGGTATCTAAAAAAATAGAAGATAAACATCATACATTCAAATTCTCTGTAAAAGATCTAAGTTATAAAATTATAACTGAAAATGAATTACCCAAACCAGCAGCAGATTGTTTATTGCCAGCATTTCAAAGTGATAACGGATATTATTGTACTGCAGGATTTTGTTCATCATTACGAATGGTATGAATTCCTTTTAATGAAAGTCATATAATTTACCTACTCTACAATTTTTTTGAAAATGTTTAAACTTTTTCAGCTCATAAAAAGCATTGATAAACATTGGATTTGGCTACTTGGTTTTAGACTAAGTTGCTTATCTGCTTGTGCAGAAGTTTCATCATGGACTAAATATTGTGAAGTTGAATTACAAGCATCAATAAAATCACTTTTTGATTATCAACTCACTGATAAAAATGTTCCATTTGAAATTCCTATACAGTTAGCACGATTTGAATGTCATCTATCTCAACCTCTACAAATACATAATATTAATAAACGTCTAAATGAAAAATCCCTCCATCCTACTCAAAGATTTGCAGATGAGAATAACCCAACATTATCAGACTTGCTAATATTACCAAATATCTTTATTACTTATGAATTACTAGGAGAAAATGTAATGAATACATTTTTACCATTAACTTTAAAATGGTATAAATCTGTTCTTGAACGTTTAAATATTGGAAGTTGTTTGAAGAGTATAATTTTCAAAAAAATTAAATTATCGAATAATGTTTTCTTGCCAGAAGTTCCACTGCATTCTCTATACAAGTGTGATTTACGCCGATATAATCCACGAGCAAAGACATATGTCAAACAAAATGTACAAGATATTATTCAAATATTTGATTCCATAAATATAAACATAGATTTGTGCTCAAACAACATACATCCTATCAACTGGGATGATTTACCTTATGAAGTTCGCCCATGTGGGGGTGACATACCTAATAAAAGATTAATTAGAAAAACACAACAATTGGAAAATCTTATTCATTCTACATTAAAGGTTTAAAAAAAATAATTTCTGCCTAGAAACAGTTGTAAAAACCAATAAATTCTTAAATTTTTTATTTAGGTTGCAAAAGATGGTGACATAGTTGTAGATTTCTGTTGTGGAAGTGGCCATTTAGGAATTGTAATTGCTTATCTTGTTCCTACCTTAACAGTAATAATGGTTGACAACAAAGAAGAATCTTTACGAAGAGCTAAAGACCGTGTTGAAAAATTAAACTTAAAAAATGTTATGATTGTTCATTCAAATTTAGACTATTTCAATGCTAACTTCCAGGTATATAAATATTTTTATGGTTAAAAATAAAAAAGGTTGAATAAAAATGACCAATATTTATTAGGTAGGATTATGTTTGCACGGATGTGGAATAGCTACAGATTTAGTTTTAGAAAAATGTCTATTACAAAATGCAGCTTTTATAGTGTGTCCTTGTTGTTATGGAGGAGTCCAAGTAACTTAACTACTCTTAAAATATGCATTATAAATTATTTTTTAATTATTTTTTTCTATTATAGGATAATCATATTTTGGAGTATCCTCGAAGTCGAGCATTGAAACAAGCTAATTTTTCATTTGAAGATTATTTAGTTCTGTGTCATTGTGCAGATCAAACCCATTTTGATCCAAACTGTACTAAAACACAACAGGGTTATACATGCATGGCAGCTGTTGATAAAGATCGTGCAACCAGAGCAATAGAAGTTGGTTATAGTGTAACACTATCAAAATTAGAACCACCTACATGTACACCAAAAAATAACATGCTCATTGGAATCCCTTCATAGAAATAAAAGCAACATAATATTAAACATTTTTTAAAATCGTGTTTAACATAACAAACAAATTAATACAATTGTATTATTTAACCTGATCTGGGACATAAAATGTATATTTAAAATAAATTATAAAACGTTTAAAATCAATTTTTTTAATACTTTCAAATATACAGTAGAATATTTATGGTAACCAATAAAATATAAGTAACGTTGCATCACTTTAGGTAAATAAAATATAATAAATAATTCAACAAATAGTTAAAAACAACAAAATTGAGATTTGGTTCACTTGATTCAATAAACAGAGATCAAATTTTAAATAATTGCATATGGAAGTAAAAATATACAATATTATAGTAGATTAAAATTACACAATATTGTCATGTTCATAATTATTTGAATATTTTCTTAGTAAATAATTATCATAATTTATGATCGGGTAATATTGTGGAAGGCAATACATGTTTACATTTCGGTATATAGTTTTTAATTATTAATTTTTTTGGTAAGTATTCTTCAGTATGATGAAGTCTATGCATAACATGAGAGTCAAAACATTGCATATGTTTGTCCAAGTTATATTGTACCTCTTCACTATGTTTTTTAGAACTATTAAACATTCCGTCGCCTATAAAAATCAATACATCCAAATTTTTAAATAAATTTAGTATAAAAAAAAAAATTACTTTTCGTTTAATATTCTTATACACTATAATTTATACTAAGTACACTATACACACTATATATATTTATCTATAATGTGTATTATTATAATATATTAATAACTTATAATTTAACTATCATAAAATATTCCTAATTCTTCCTATTAAAGTACTAAGTCATAAATTAAATATTATATTTATGATATAATTCAGTAGTATAAAGCCATTTTCATCATAACTTGGAAACACATTTCTATTTTTATAAACAATTTTAGCTACATTACTTGGTTTTGCAACAAATGAGAATTTATTTTAAATATACCAACAAACTAAGTAATGAAGTTCATCAAAATATTTGGACAGTGTTGGTGGATATATAAAAAAAAAAACAAATACATATACATGGTAAAACCCATTGATCAATACTAAATAAATTGTCAGACAATCTTTAAGTCCTATAAGTGACAAGTGTTTTTATTTTTAAAATTATTGATCAATTATACTATTGATTTTATAATATATTATAGTATTTTCTAAAATTAATGAATAGGGCTGAAATTTTAATGCTTTATAAATTTAATAGTAGTATATTAATATAATACAACGAAATTCAATATAAAGAATTCAACCTGCTCGAAATGTAATTAAATGTTAATTGAAAAAAATTTATGTTTACCTGGAAGTAATGTTAGATAACCATCTTTAGTGGCAATAACCATTGGTAATACTTGTTCACAGCCTTCAATACTTCTAGCACGTGCAAAATAAATTAATTTGTTAATTGATGTAAACTGTTTTAGCCTTAATAGTTCATAATATTGAGGAGTAACAAGTTTTTCATCACCAACAACAAATCTTGATAGTATTTCATCTGGTGTACTCCACTAGTTATAAAACAAGTAATTGTACAACTAAAACTTGATGATTTCTATAAAATCAACAGAACTTACTGCCATTTGCGATGTTTCAATACCATCAGGACTTGCATTTACTGGAGATTCAATATAAGCAAGAAAAAATTTGGTATCAAACTTTGTTTTCAATAGTGGAGGAGTCAACCAATTACTCCACAGATGCAAAGCACCAACATCTGGATAACAATGGTTTTGATTACATAATTCAATAAAATTTGATGCTTTTTTCTGAACTAATTTTCTCCATCTGTCAATACTATCTATTTCTAAATGATTTGCAGAAGCACAAGTTTCAGCCATGTTGCAGTTAATCCTTTTGCATAATAATATACCACTCTCTTCAAATGTTTCTCTAATAGCAGTCACTCTTAATGATAGATCTTTGGGGATGGAACCCGGTTCATTATCAGGTACAAATTTAGTAGCTGGACTGCCTAAAATAAAAAAATACAATATTAAGAATATACTTAATGGAATAAATAATTAATATATTCTGTCCTACCATTAAAACCAATAATATTTAAATTTAAATTAGAATTCATAACATCTGGAATAATATCTTTCCATTCTGGTGAAGAATCTGATTTTTCTGTAGTCCCTCCAGGGAAGACTGTATAGTTTGGCAAAAATGAATTTTTTTCACTTCTTTTTATGCAAAGTATTCGGAAATGATCCCAATAGACAGTTTTTACATTTTTAACATTGGAAGATTTTGTAAGAAGAATGACACTAGAAGCTTCTCGCCAAAAACTCATATTTAATAAAATTAGTTCTACACAATACAAGATGAAAAATTACAATCACAAAATTATTAATTGATAAAGACAACACATTACTAAAACTATATTAAACTGAATAACTAGAATTAGATTATCGTAACTTGAACATCGTCCACTTCAATGTTGAAATACAATTATATATGTAGAACAATTAGTGTAAAATATGTCCATAGATTACTTAAAATTAAATTAATTTGTATTCTTTTTATGGTCTTATCATATTTGAATATTGGAATGATAACATAGGAAAATTATTTGGTGGGGAAGTATGCCACCGATAAGTATTTATTTTTTTATTCATCAACCAATGAAAATCAGCCAAATAATTGATATCAAAATAATGATAGTGAAAGGAATATAGAACTTGGGTACACAAAAAGCCTATACTCCTATGTCTAGTTAAGTATCAATATATTAAAAATTGCGTTGTTGTATTTCAATATTTTTAACTATAAAATTGTCATCAAAAATCTATTGCAATAAGTGTACACACAGTGTGTCATTGAAGTGTTTTAAATTATTTATTAATTTCAAGTTGTCAAAGTATGGATATTGGTCTTACTGATCCGTGGATCACGCTTACCATTAAAGCTCCAAACCAGCAGATCAATGATCAAACCATAAAATGTAAACTAGATTGGTCAGTGGCAAAACTCAAAGGTTACATACATGAAACTTATCCAAATAAACCAGTAAGAACTTCTATTTTTATTCTTTACTAGCTCAAATGAAATGTAGCAAAGCTATTAAGATCAAAATTGTTTTGCAGAAAACTGAAGATCAGAGAATAATATATTCTGGTCAACTTTTAACTGATAGTGTTATTTTAAAAGATATTTTAAGGCCATATGATGAAGATGGGCAGCTCAATCGTACTGTTCATTTAGTATGTGCTTCTTCATCCTGTTGTATTCCACCTAAAGGTAAACTATTTCATATATTGTATATTATGTAACACAAATTTATTTTATAGTGAATTTTATATTAGAACTTAAAAACTACCAAACATGGTTGTTGCATTTATTTTAGTAATGAAGCTGACCAATTGTTCAGTATGTAATTTTTATTAAAATTTTAGTTAGGTATGTAAAACAAAAAAAATTAAACCCAAGTATGTTATACAAACAATTTTCAAAGGATGATTTGTCATTAAATAAATATTACTCCAAAAATTACAAATTGTATGTTATCTGAATAAAATATTTTTATTATACATTCAATTATTAGTTTTTAATAATTTATTTATTATTTGTTAATAATGATAGGTAATTAATTTTTCAAGGGTTGAAGTATGAATTATCATTTTAATTTCCAGAAAAACTCAAAAATGAGCAAAATGTTAATGAAGTACTTAATAAATGCCCTAAATTTAATGAAGTTAACTATGGTGCTAGTACTTCTGGAATTAATAGTTCTGCTGATCCCAATCAAGAAGCTAGTACATCAAATAAACAGAAAGATACCAAAAATACACAAAACCAACCTCAATCCACTGCCAATAATAATGTTAACCATATTCCATTGTTACCTGAACAAATAGCTTATGAACAAATATTGTGGTTGAATAAAATGTATGCTATCCAAATGGCACAATATTGGCAATCGTAAGTTATTTCTTTTTGGCAGAAATTATGTTTATAATTCATTTAATATTGGATTTTACAGTGTAGCTTCAAGTTTAGAAACTCCTAAAGAACCAAATACTGATGATATTAATGACGAATCACCTGAAGATTTACCACCAAATAATAATAGTAATGATTCTTTTAAAATAATTCTAAACATATTTTTATAAAATGTATATACCTTACTTTGTTAAACTGTAGATGATAATATTCCACCAGCCAACCAAAACGGTATACCTGAAAATAATGAAAACAGAAATGTGCGAGATGCTAATGGACATAATCCAGATTGGTTAGACTGGTTATATGTCTCTAGTAGAGTATTTATATTTATTAGTGTACTCTATTTTTACTCATCTCCTGGTCGATTTATTGTTGTTGCTGGTTTTGCACTTCTTTTATATTTGTAAGTTTTCAACTGTGTAATTAAACATTTTAACTTATCAAATTTTTTACAAAAATCTCAGTACTTTTTTCTTTCTATTTGTGTGATTTGAGATGTTTTTAATTTTTAAAAATTTATCTTGTTGAAATTATTGATATTATTAAATTTTCAGATATCAAAGTGGAATTTTGAGACACATTAATGAACATAACAGAAGAAGGTTTCAACCTCAACCACAAGAACAGCAAATAGATGATAATAGAAATTTATCACAAGAGCAGAATGGAAATATTGATGATGCAGCTGTAAGGCAAAATGAACATCTAATTACCACTATTTGGACTGTGATAAGTACTTTTTTTACTTCCCTTATACCCCAACAACCAGATATAATATAATACATAAGAAAAACCTTGTATATAATAAAATATATTTAATAATATTATGTATTTATTTAGTATTTAATATTTACTGTTATATTAATTATTATAAAGTCTTATTTTTAAGTTTATGGAATTTGAATATTTAGTTTCATAATTACTAATTAAGATTAAGTTAAATACTGTATTTGGGATATTTAAATAATAATTATATTTAAATTGTATTCATAGAAGTAGTGATAAAATATAAATTAAATAAAATATTAGTTTAAATAAAAATCATAAATGTATGTAATTTAATTATACTATATAAGTCATATTTATAAAAAAAATTCCAACATTTTTATTAGGATACAATGCGTATATATAACAATTTCAACTGTGTAAATAAATATTTTAGATCGCTTACACGCAGTTGAAATATTATTTATTTTCTGTACCTATATAAACGTGCACTATACATTTTAGTACATTAAATATTGTTAAAATAAAATCACATTACTAAATATTTTAAATTAATTAATTATTTGATTAGGTATATATTGTAGGTTTTAAATATTATAACTTATATACAATAAAAAAAAAAAAAAATGAATACATTACTTGTATTAAATTCTGTTAGGAAATATTTTATCTATGTATATAAAATGATTTATATTATTTAAACCAATGTAATTTCTAACAAGCTATAATTTGGCAACTAATTATTTTAATTGAAATTATTGTATGATAAAATTTTAAATTAAGCTGATTTTTAAAAGTAAAATAAATTAAAATATTTTTTTGTTTATAAAATACGTATATTCAATTGCAGAATAATTTAAAAACATGATAAACAATATTTTATAAACAAATAATATGAATACATTTTGGTTATCATTAGAGTTTCTACTAAATAGTGAAACAAGTTCTTCCAATAATTAATCCATTAGGTTTGTTGTTATATGGAGTTTAAACCAAATGTAAGTATCAACAGATTTCAAATATGGGTTTTCCTATATTATAACAATGATGATTAGCGTAATATTAATATTTTTACTGTGGTAAACAGAGTTTAACTTAAGATTTTTAATGCCAGAGCAAAAGAAAAATTAATCCTTTTATTAAAAATTGTGAATTCAATATTTTATTATATATTATTGTACTATAATTAGTAAATAGAATATTAATAACTAGTGATGCACAATGATGTCGTATTTCGATATCGATATGACAAAAATATTTGATATCGAAAAAACGACATCGTAGGTAAATATCTAACTTTTTATCGATATAGAAAATTGATATCAATTCGTTGCAATTTGAAATTTCTATCATCTATTTATATAAGTTGTATAAGTTTACCACGGTTAAGATATACTTAAATACATACGTATATCTTAAATCGTGATTTTGACAGTGAATCAATGTCAAAGAACGATTAAACACTAACGATAAGCAATACGATAAAACCCTTATGCCTTGTTTACACGTGACGAGTACTCGGCTGAGAGAGTCAACAGTCCGAGCACTGTCCCGTATGAACTCAAGGAACCAGTACTCGGCCCAGTAAAATGATCGAGCGAGTGAATAGAAACCGTTTCTATTCACTCGGCCGAGCGACTACCGCTACTGCCAATATTAACTGTAATCGGCGTGTGTAAACCGCCAACCGAGTAGATCGTGTAGTGAACTTATCTGTCACTCGGTCAAGCAAATAAAATACGTGTAAACGCTGACTCGGTTAATTTCGGTATTAGACCGAACAACATAACGAGTGACACGGCCGAGTACTCGTCACGTGTAAACAAGACATTACAATAGACGTATATGTGATAGCTGTGATTGTTGGATTTTTACCCTTAGTCTCGTTTTTTCCGTCGTTTACGTTGAGTTAATACGTCATCTCTGATATTTATAATTAAAGAACAATTATGAGTTATTATTAAGATAGCACCATTACCTGGAAGTCGTAATGATGTATACTAATAAAATAATAAATTGCTAAATATTTAATAATTTTAAATGTATGCATATTTTTAGGAAGTAATTATACAAACTTTGAAGTACCTACTGTAGATGAAAAATAAATAATGTATCTGTAATTTTAATTTATAATAATATAATATTAAAACTGTTTTTATACTTTTTTAATATAAGAAATATTAATTAAAAAAAAAAAAAAAATGTCAATTAATTCTTTTTAATCTATAAATTATTATAAATTATATTGATATATCGTTTGTTTTTCGATATCAATGAACCGATATCGATAACAGAAAAAATATCGTGCACTAATAACCAGTCGAAATCTAATACTAAATTAAACAATATTTAAAGTAGTTATTACATATTATTCAAATTTTTTTTATAATTTTCTAATAATATATACTATTCAATTTCATAAATTTTCTCATGTTGTATGAAGTCCAACAAAGAATTATGTATATTGTCACAATTGATGATAAATCTATTGTTGAGCTTTGAATTATTTTTGAAGTTTAATTTATTTGTTGTAGAATTGAATCCCAAATAATAATCATAATTACAATTTTTATTGTTTTCAATTTATCTATTTAAAATATTTTTAGCATCAATACAAGTGTATTTTGATTTGTATGGTAAGACGTTTCAAAAAGAATAGTAACCATTTCAGAACTATCAATTCTCAAAGCTTTAGAAGGATTAGCATTTGTTGACCAACATGTCTGACATGATAATTTTAAAGTAGGTATTCCATTTTTTTTTACACTTTTTTAATTGATCTTAATGGGTTGATTGTTAAAAAAAATGATTTAAAGATTATAATTAATTAATAAATACTTGTATCTTAAAATAATAGACCATTTTATTATAAATATTTCTTATCTTATACTTACACTTTGTATGTCAGTGAAAAATATAATTTATAATAGGGAAGCAATTTTCGATAGTATAATTTTTCGCGTTCTTCAAATTGTATGATAAATTAAAATTAAAATACCCATAATGTCCATGTATAAATAAGGCCTTGGTGGTAGGTATAAATATATTTGCCTTATAATAAGTATTATTTACATTTTGTTATTTTTTAGTTCCAGTGTAAAATAATTTAATTTAAAAAGATATTATTCTGTTGATTTTAAATAATTGTTTCTTTGAGTACTTACCTTAAGTAAGAGGAAGTGATTTTCATTATATCACAAGCCGTTAGTCATTAATCGTTTGGTTTGTTATATTATATAACCTTACGACGTTTTTGAGTTACTTAACTCATTTGCTACGTGTATGTTCAAATTATTTTGATATCCAGATAATAAGTCTTATGAATAATGTTTAAGATGAAAACAATAATAATTATTTTATGTATATTTTGACTTTTGCAATCATTGAGCAGAGGGAAGTTGTTCTTGCATGGTTATTTTTACTTCATTTAACAGCAAAAAAAAATATCTGTCAGGTATGCAAGTTTGGTGACCCACTAATCATATACAAAGAAAAAGTTCTTTAATTTTAAAATTATTTTGCTGTTGAAAAAGTAATTTAATTTCTTCGTTAGAGCAAATAGTTGGGTTAAAATCTTCCCTCTCGACAGCCATATTATCTCTGCATGAAAAAGATGTGTTTATTGGGAACCCATTTCTTCACAAAGTGACTTAAATAACCTTAAATTAAGTGCTTTGTGTCAAATGTAACTTAAAATTCTAATGAAACAGGATAATACTTCGTGTAGATCTGGGCATATTTTTTTTGACGCAAGTTGCTCATTTTGCAATATGCAGTGGGTGGACAAAATATCTGGGTGACCAAATTTTTTACTTTTGCAACACAGTTACCTGAAAAATGTCCAACCATGTTTGCAACACCATCTGTGCATATCCTAATATACTTTTTTCACTCAATTCCATATTTCTGAATCAACTATCATATTTATATATTTATATTTCAACATCATAAAATAGACTGTATAAAAGTATTTAATATTTTTTATTTGAAATACATTTCTTGTTCTACTTAAAATATCTAAAATAATAAAAATTATTCAACTCAATTATGTTCCAGTTTAAAAATTAAGAAATCAATCAATATAATGTTCAAAATGATACAATGTCATTGTGGATAATACTGACGATTAAGGTAAAATTATAATATTTCATCTTTACGTTATACATTTTAATTTCATGTTTTTTTAAATTAATCAAATATTTTACCTATTATTTGAATTTTACATTTTTTGAATTAGATCCAGATGATCTCAGTGTTCTAATACCAGCCATTGTATTTAATTGTTGATAGTAAATACTATATATATATTTATAATCAATAACATAATTCATAGTTAAGTTTACAGTCTTAGAAGATTGTGATTCAATCAAATGATTTATATATAGATTTAGAGGTACTACTAATAACTGACTTATCTATATTCTTATGAAATGACTTTTTCATATCAATAAAAAAATTATCAAAAATAGTTTTTGGATTTTGATACAATCTTCACCACTCTTCTTGGAGTTATTTATCTAGTAAAGGAGACGCCCCATTTTTTTTAATATTATATTTGGATTTTATAATCCTCTATAAGCCTTCAATTTGTTAAATGTGTGCTCCTGTTTCCGGGTCAATAAAAAATTGTAAATGGTTAACTGTTTGATGAATATATTTATGATGATTTAATGTTGAGTATGCTCTCCATTGGTCACTAAATTGTTTTTTCAGTTTTTATTTAATTTTTAATAATTTTAAAAGAATTTCTCGGTTCCAAAATACATAAATATATTCCCATAAATAAAAATAAAATGCCCATAACAACAATAACTGCATTATCGAAACATGTAGATCAACACAATCTTATCTGTAGGTCGAGTAATATTTGTAAGTCACATATTGGACTGTTACCAATTTAGTTTTTGTTTAAATTTTGAAAATTATTGGGTACTCTTAATATAAATTATTACTGACCCAATAATAATTAAAACATATATTAGATAAATGTTTTATATGTTCAAAATCTACAGACATTATAAAGTGTCTCTATCCTTCTAAATGTGCATTCATATATATTTTTAATATTTACTGCGAGTTCAACATATCAGTTTAATGATCTTTCTGAAGTTGTTAAATTAAAAATAAAATATAATAACCAATTTTTAACTATAATTATTATTATACTTCTGCAAATGTATATTGCAATTAACAACTTATGTCTATTATAAGTTATAAATAATCAATAACTTAGAAAATTGTATCAAATAATTTTTAAATATTACCATATAAAATTTATAACATACTTTTTGATCTGGTAAAAAAGTCAAAATTCTTTACACTTAACCATAATCTAAAATAATTATGTAAAATTTTATCTGGATTCCTAAAAATCTATTATTAAATAATTTGCAAGTAAAAAATACTTGATTAAAAAAATAATTTACATTCTATAGTTTACAATAATACAATTAAATATTAAAAATAATAAACAATTAATACTCTATTTTTAAATCATCTTTATGAATAATTTCTGATGATGGAAATGACACAACGAATCTTTGTGACACAATCATCATTATAGTATATTGATTGAAATCATCTTCAAATAATACTTCATATCCATCATAACTTGTTTTAGGGGAAGCTTTTACAAGAGCTTTGAAGAAACAAGTAGTTTGTGGATACATGGCCAAGACTATAACACATATTTAAATAATCATTAATTTATAAACTCTTAAAAATAAACTCTTAAAAAATTATCTTTCCTAGACCCGAATTGGATAAATCAAACTAACTTGATTGTACAAATACCTTCATTTTTAAATCAAAATTGATCTTGGTTATTTATATTAGAAATTTGGATAGCCTATTATAAAATGCTTAGCTTTACCATTGAAATTATACTAACCAAATGTATTGCAGGGAAAGAAGGCATCGGGACTAATGATTGGATCAGCTCTCATAAGAGGTAATGGCTTTACATTTTTTTTTTCCAACGTAAAATTACGATTTGTTTCTTTTACATCAATATCTTCCACTTCATATTTTCCATTTTTAAACTCTACTGCTTCTGCTACAATCCATCTTTCTTCTCCAGATTGTTTAACTAGTGCTGCCACTAAATCACCACTCTATAAAAATGCATAATGTTTATCAGTGGTTCTCAATTAGTAGTCCGTGAATTGATTTTAGAAGGTCTACGGTTGGGTAGTACTGTAATGATATTTTCATTTTATTTTAGTGCAATTATTAACTTTGTAATCGTTTGAAATTTCTTGTATTTTTGGACTATTGAAACTCGATTATAGCGAAAAAGATGGATAATCAGTTTTGTATAAATATCATCAACCTGACCCAAACAATAAGTGGATAAGAAGATCCATTTTCCTGTGATATTGAAATAATAGAAAATATCTCTTAACAAGAATAATATAAACTGATTTGTTTGATAACGGAACGATGAAAAATATTTTAAACAATAAAAAACTAATTAATTTTTGATTAATTGTTCAAAATGATCATAAAAGCAACTGGTCGAGAAATATTTGATTCCCTTTTACACAACATATAGATGTGAAAAAGCTTTTTATACCTACTGTTATTGACACTGATTTAAGAGTGAATATATCAAGCCTGCAGCCGGATTTGGATGAAATTATGAACAAAAAAGAAAGATTTTACTTGTCTCTTAAAGTTCTAAGATCAATGCAATAGCTAATTTAAGTATCTCATAAATAAATTGTAATAAAGTTGTAACGTTAAATCAAATCGATCTATTTATATAAAAATGTGTGCAATATTACGAAAAGGTTTGTAAAATTAAAATAAATCGAACATTTTCATAATTAAACAAAATTTAAAAGTAAGTATTTACAAAAAAGGGGTCCCTGGACCAATTTAAGTTATAGCTAGGGGTGCGTGACTTCACTCTAATTGGGAACCACTGAGGTGTACCATAATATTGAAAATACTAACAAAATATACCTTTGCAGTATAAGAAGGAAGTGGCTCAATGGCACCACACAATGGTGGTGGTCGTTCATCATTTTTTGGATACCATACAGGCATCCTTACTGCTGTTACTTGTAATAACTTAAGAAAAGTTGAACTTCTTTGTGACTGCAGAAGTGACTTAAATGCAAATAAAATTTATAAAGTATTTCAATATTAATATTGATATTAACTATTGTACCTTTATTTTTTGATGACGTAAATTTCGTACTTCATTTATTATTGCTAATGCTTTTCGAAATACTTCTTCTTCTTCTTTAACTTCTTTTTCAGCTACTTCATAGAATCCAATTAATGATTTCTATAAATACAATAATTAAAAAAAAAAAAAAAAATGCTATTGTTATAGTTTTAAAAGCATAAAGCTTACTTGTGACTCCGGATCAATCATGCCTTTTTGAATAACTAATTCTTGAGTATTATTAATGTTATCAATCACAGCTTCGTTGCAAGTTACCATCGTTGGTACATTATACAATATCTTAAATAATTCTATTAAAAGAGTCTACAAAATTGAATTACAATTAAAGGTTATTAAATGTTCTTTGATTTAAAAATAAAAATATGTCATATTTTTAGTTGCTTTTTAGTTAATTATTCATAAGATGGACTCAATTACTATTTGTCCTTTATCAAACTGTAATTTTGTATATAAATTAATAAACAAATAGTTAATGTATAGAAATTAATAAATAAATAGTATATATATAGAAATAAATAAACAGAAGTTTAGTCTGGAATATTATTATATTTGTTAAGTATTACATAGTCAAGAATTGCAATTTTATTAATTTTATATAGACCCAATGATAAATTTTTAATTTTAAACCGGTCAGACTACAAATATAACAATATTCTAGGCTAAGCTTTTGTTTATTTATTTATTTCTATCTATAAACTATTTGTTTATTTAATTATATACAATTTATATATTAATTTGCGAATATTAACTATTTATTCATTTTAATATTACTTTTTTATAATTGTAATTTTGTGCTTTATTTATTCTAAAATATTACCTGTTCATCAGAATATTCTTTAGCAGCACTAATCTGTGATTTTGTCAGTGCCATATTTTGTGTTGAATTATTTCTTACTAAATTATAAAATAAATAATTGTATTAATCAATTCTAACTTTTAAAATAAATATATTAATTTTTATAAGTTAATTAAAAAGTAACTACAATTCCCTAATCAAATATTATTTAATGTTTACCAATAATTATTTGTTGAGGAAGATTTGAAGCATGACCATGAAAAAGGCAAAAAGGGATAATTGATTTTTAACTTATCTCATAATTTTCAAATATCTGATTCTTTCAAATTTTTCTGTATTCTTCACTAATTTATAAATATCTTAACGTGTGAATTTTGTAGTGTTGTTTATATATTTTATATTAATTAAAACTCCAATAGGTAAGAAAAAAATTTATCATAATAATATAATAAATAGTTAGTGGTAAGTAGTGTATAAAATATTGTTAAGTTAAGTAAACAGATAATCTTTAACGTACATTATTTAGATTCTATTTCAAATGTTATTATTTTTATATTAAATTATAATTGCCCAATCGGAAATTGAACTCGTTCCAGACTTGAATTGGACATACAAATGCCACATTATTATTTGATAATCCTTTATTAATTCAAGCAAAGTAATATTAAACATAGATTAAAAAATAATATCTAGACTTTGATACTACTTACCAAAGAAATATACAATACTGGTATATTGAATGTACCTATTTAATATTTACGTTATTTGCAATTAATCAGTTAAATATTAAATTGCATATCTATTATTTCTAAAATCAATCATGATTATATAATTGATAACTATTATCAAAATTACAAATGTTTGTTTTTGCTTAAGCATAGATAATAAAATAATGGATAGGCCTTGAGAGTTTATCACATATGAACATTAAAAAATTGAGATTACAGGGGGTCTTATCACTTATCAGTTTGAAATGTAAATTATAATATTGCTTATTATAAACAATTACACCATCCTCTATTAAATACTTTTTAATTTATTAAATTTTGTATTAAATAATACATTGTAGCTTTATTTTTTTATTAATGTTAACTTGATTAATTTTTACAAATTACATTATAGTGTATTTTGGGGTTTCAGTATGTTTAAATTATTAATTAATAATATATATAAATACAAATACTAAATATTTAATTATCTTTAATAATATTATATTATAAATTATAAAGTACTTATATAATACATACTTGTGAATAGGTTTAGATGTAGAAGCAGGGGTGTGTTTAGGGGGGGGGGTTGATATGGGTGTTAGAACACCCACTATCTTCCTTATTTTATGGTATTTCACCAAATTGTAAACTTACTTTGATTATTTTAATAAATGTTGTATAGAACTTAGAGGTTTTACATATGCTGTCTTAATTTAATCATTTTCATTTATATAAATACATGGAATTTATTTATGTAATACGGGGGGAGGAGGCAGAGGTTCTACTTACCATAAGTCTATTAAATTTTAAAATACCTCCGTTAAATTAATCCTGGATACGCCACTGTGTAGAAGTATAGGTAGTATTAACGGCTCTGAAATAAGCTCAATTGAACTAGAGATAGATCAATAATTTATGAAAAGGGAATCTTATCTGAATTTCCCATTTGATAATTTTATAAAGCAGCGGTTCTTAACCTATTGTGGATCACGGACTCCTGATGAAAGATTTTTAGAAATTGCGGACCCCCTTACCAATTCTTATTACAAAACATCTCATGTTATTAAAACCAAAATTATAATAATTATTTTATATAATAAATTATATTAGTAAACATAACAAAACATACATATTTACAATTATTTTGATTACACTTAATTTTTCAGTTGATTTTAATTTAATTTTTTTTTTTTTTTTTTTTTTTTAATATTCTTAGAGTTTAATTTTTATATACTTAATGCGATGGTTGGTGTTATACTTGAGACACGAGTTTTTGAGCATCATATATAAGATCTGTCTTTTTATATGAAAAAAAAAATAACAATATTGTAGTATCATGTCACGTATTGACGTATGTTACTTTAAGGTTGTCGCAGACTCTTAGAGGGCCGTGGAGCACATGTTAAGAACCGCTGTTATAATGGAAGAATATTCTTACTACGATGGAATGGCAAAAAATGAATGTATTTTTTACTGTTACTAGAACTATAGGAACTTGGATCAAAATCATTAAAAGAACTGATTAGTTAGATTTAGATGTAGCCATTAAGTACTGGAACAACCCGTTCCTCTGTTAGTATCAGTTCTAATAGAAAAAAAAGAAAAAAAGGAAGCTCAAGTCATAGGGCAATAAGGCTTCAACTCAGACGATAATTTACTTCTAGATAGCGCAGTACGTTATGCAGCATTGGTCGGAAATAGTAAATTATAAATTATGTACCATGGCTTGTAATTGGAACTAAAGAAAAAATATTTTTGCTCATCGATAGTATTTTATATTGGGTCGGAGCTAGCAAATATTGATGGGGTAGGATGGGTTATTATCAAGTTTGCTGAATACTTTATAAAACAATATTCTACGATACTAATATTGCTTAATTTGTTTATTATTAACGAATATATATATATACAGTGGCGTACATAGGGGGGGGGGGTCCCGGGTTCAAACCCCCAGGGCCAAAAAAAAAAAATTGTTTTATTATTGATGACGTGTAATATTTTCGTAGTTTCATTATTACGCTTTGAACTTAAAATGTGCAGCTATACAAATGTTATGATAATTAAATAATTATATTGATAGGTGTTTGAAAAGTTTTGTTAACTATGCTTTTTTTATATTCAAATAGCTATTAATTTACTGTAATGTAAAAGTAAACTGTAAATTGGTAAAAAAGTTGTATGAAATAATAACTGTTTATAGCAGTTATTTATCTTATTTATCTGTGGAACGAAAAAAAAAGATAACGATTATTTTTAATAAGTTAATATTAACTAAAAATTATCTTAGATTAATAATATATGATGGTAAGACAATTATTTCAAAATTTGAAGTCTCATATTTTCCAAGAATATTTAAAAAAATTAGATCTATAAGGTAAATGCTTTGTATTAACTTATGGAAAACAAAATTAATATCAAATAATAGTCAACTAATGTATTATAGTTCAAATCTTTTTATTTTATTGAAATTTAGCTTTGACGGTAACGGCCATTAGCTTTTTCTGATGAACATTTATAGTATTTTACAATAGTTTTGATATTTATAGTATGGTAACTTATGATTAATTATTATTATTATAAGTAGTGCCGTATACATAACTTTTGTTTGGAGTGGATCATTTTCAAACCAATCATTATTTTTGTTTTTTCATTATTTTTTTTTTTTACGTTTCTAACGCTCTCACACTAAAAACATTATTTTAGAACATTAAATAAAGGTCTAGGTTAGGAATCTGATCACCACATCCCTCCTTTGTATACGCCACTGATTATAAGTAGGTACTTAAATATTTCTGTATTCTTAAAAAATTCAATGATGCTCTCAAGTTGGTATTCCAGACATTAGTAAAAATAAAAATGATTATTGTGGTAAGAACTGGTATAGAGGAGAAAACCATGATACTTATCTTCGATTATATAAACTAACTTAAAACTAACTTAGTTTATATCATCGAAGATATTTATAATGACTACATTATTATATTTCTTTACATCATGTTTATCATTATAATGTTCCATTGTACCGAGTTGAAAATACATTACCATACTAAACGTACCAGTGTGGGTCTGAAATTTGTGGTAAGTTCTAATCTTTTTTTAAAAAAATGTTTTAATAGGTTCTAATAAATCGAAAACATTTTTTAAAACGTCATTTACCGATAACCATCGAACTAAACAATACCACGGAACATCATTTAGAATATCATCCTCTAAAGTTTCAACAAAGTTTTGAAATTGGCGATGTATCTTTGAACTTGAATGTATGTAATTTACAAAAATGAATAACATTCATCACTTGTTCATATTTAAAATATTTAGCCGTTAGGTATTCTATATGAATAATGCAGTAAATTGGAATAAAGTCTAGAAAATCAGTATTACTTTTTAAAATACCTTTCAATCCATTTTTACAACCTGTCATACAGGTGCACCATCAGTTGAGACGCTAATCATTTTTGGCAATATGTACTATTGCTTTACGAAGTACTGCGTCAAGAGCATCCTTAATATTACAACCTCTAGTAGTTTATAAGATATAAGTAGTTTATAATATATAAGTTATAAGATCAAATATTTTTTTTTTTCACTTCCATATTTATCGTTACATAACATACAAAAATAGCTAACTGTGGTTTATCCTGAATGTCAGTAGATTCATCTAACGCTAAACTTAATGTAGAACAATTAGCAATTTAATTTTGTAAATTAGAGAAAATATCTGGACTTATTATTGAAATACACCTTTCCATGGTATGTCTACTATTTGAAATATTTTCAACCATATTTAGTAATTTTTATCTTCCGGTTTTAAAATGGAAATTACATCTAAAATAATGTTTTTTGTTAAATATACTCCATCAGTGTATGAGCGCTTTGCTTAAATAATATTAAACGCCATACAAAATCTTCCTTTAGTAGTTATATCGGTTTCTTTGAAAAATACTTAAATTGTTTCATGATGGTGTTTTAAGTTACTAACCATAAATTGTGATAGTTGGGATTGACAGATGAGACAAAATGGTTTACTGTTTCGTTCTATGAAAAATAACTCTTATTCCCATTGTAATTCGAATTCTCTATTTTCTTTTCATACTTGCGTTTCTTAGACACGATAATTATTTTATTAATGTTATGTTGTTACACTCACGACTTCGAATAGCACTATGAAGGCACATATATTATCAATGAGTGTCCATGTCTCAAAATATCATAGAGTATTTTGATATTTATAGTATTTATGAAGGTAAAATTAAGATAAAATTAAATTTGACATTATTGTATAATTATTGTTATTGTATTCTTTGCATTTTATTAAATTCGATATCTTATTTACAATAATCATACATATATATATATATATATATATAATAATTATTTTTCAGAATATCGATGAATACAGAAATATTAGGATGAGCACTGTAGAACAAAGTGTTAAATTTCGAATGAAAAGCCTCACAAAATATTTTATCAGTCATGATTAAATTATCTAGAGTTAGAAAACCCAGGCCGCAACTCGTCTGTATCCAAAATAAATTCGGGCCGCAATTCGGATTAAACCTTTTTTGGTTGATATCTTTGGGACGCAACTAGTATGCAGTCATATGAACAATATGTTATGTTTGACAATCAGTATACTATCTGTTTCCACCGGCAGAAACTAATGTACTCGTATTTTATCATCGATTTTTACTTATTTTCTTCTTGGATTGGATAAAATGTGTTGTCATTTGGCGACCGCTTACTTATTATATTATACTTATCATGCCATGTACTATAGTCAAGGCCGGATTAAGCACCTATTGGGGCCCGGGGCTGACAATTTATATGGGCCTTTTTAACAAAACATGCTTTACAAAGTTGCTCGCTATGCTCGCAGATCGATACATTTTTTTAACTATTTCCCAAATTGTTTTGATGGTACGATAAATTTGACTGTTGCTTTTATGGATTTTCGACAGTGGTTGAGTGACTTAGAAATATGTTTAGAGAGATTGGTGTTTTTCCCGTGGAGCTCGTAGATTAAGCATTTGGTTAATATGTGCTTGATATTCAGTAGGAAACATTGGGAACATTGGTTTCTCTTTGTTCATTAGGTAGCTATGT